AATCTGGGGTATAGAATCAATCCTCAAAAACAACTCTGATTCATTCATTGATTCTCGAGAAACTGCAGCTCAGATTTTGTAAATCCATGACTGAAGGATTTGTAAAGAATGTTTAGTGTTAATTAAAGTGCTCCAGTGATTTGATGCACTTCGCGAGGTAAAGCTCCTAAACGTACAATGACAGCGTCGTGGTGAATAGGTAAAACTGATCATAAACTGACATGCATGGATTGCTCCCTGTTGCCTTCGGTATGTCGCTGATAGTTCTCAAGGTTCCGTTTCAATGTTTCGTAGTGCATCCCGCTTCTCCAATACAATAAACCTCTCCTGCCTTTGGATTGCCGATTGTTTACATGAAAACCACCATCGGGGCGTGGGAAAAACTCTCGAAAGTGATGCACATTACTTCAGCAAATTATATATCTAAATTAAAATATAGATGTGAGCAGCACAGGTTCCAAGTGTTGTCCAAGTGTTGTCCATACAAACGTACGAAAAATATTCGGCCATTTTCGAATCCTAAAGTGGTTTGCTTGTACGAACGCCGTCAAAAGTTAGGCACCGCTATGAAATTGGTGTGTGCCAGAGCATCCTTGGGTTGTTCTTATCCCATTTCAGACCTCGACCTCCCACCGCGATTCGCCTTCATGCGAATACCTAAAATTAAAAAAAGTTGCCTTCGTGCCAAAAGACCAGTACAACACGTGGCTGTAAAGGCCTTGGATAACTGGACTTTTATAGTCAGTTAACGCCCTTGCCACGGTGAAATGTAAAAAAAACCCTTGAAGATGTCATAATGCGATGATGTCGTATTGGTCGTTCCCGCTACACTCATGAATACTTATTGAAAGGTGAGGATCTTCCATTCCATCAAGCATGTCCTGCTTGGCTGTGTTGATTTTGTCCCTCACAAGGGATCAATATTTCAAAACATCAAATATCAACGATCTTATAAGAAGTATCAATTCTCGTTTAATTATTCGTTTTGTAAAAAATACAGATTTGTTTAAATAATCTTGATTAATATGTTTTGATTTTTTTACTCAACTGATAAATTTAATTCGCAGCTGAGATTGTTAAGTTAAGGGGGTTAAGTACAGTAAAATTATTGTTCCCCTGAACAAGTAAATATAGAACTATGACATTTTTAATCGTAGTATTTCTGTTAGTTTAGCTCGCGGCTAAACTGACTACAATCGCCAGCAGCTGACGGGATGGTGTGAATCTTGCTGGGGAACCGTGCAAGTAGCAGAAGCATCGTAGATTCCCCACGGTGCCAAGTATGATTGTCTAACTTTGGGTTGCTGGCGATCTCTAGACCCTTTCTATATTGTGTTGTTGAATCATAGTTTCTTCTTGTACATGCTCTCAAACTAGTTTTAAATAGAATCTGTGAAAATCCTTTTTTATTCTCTCAATGCCAGGGGATTACACTATAGTTGACAGCCTGAACTTTATGTTTTTATTTGTTTTTAAAGTCACACTTTGCAACATTCCGGCGATATTGTAAATATTCGAACCTGGACCAAACATCCGGTGAATGGCGCTATGAGCATCAAGCTACGCAATTGGAATACGATGGCGTAAACAGGGCTTACCGGGATTCGAACCCACTATCATAGGTGTCTTAGGGACACAACTTATTATTGCTGACGCCCCTCTGATCAAGTGTGGGGATTGGGTTCAACGACGTTGCGAAAAGTACTTTAGTTGTATCACGACGTGTCAACGTGTTGTGGGAGGAAAGCCTGAAGAAAGGCACCTCAAGGACGTTTATCACTTTGGTAAAACCCACCAGCCTGGGTTCTGACAAGCAACGGCTCTTCATCAGTGCGAGCCTTGGTTACACTTCACAATTATTGTACCATGACATGCAAAATAACGCAACTATGCACAGTGAATTGCAGTGTCGTAAACGACTGGAACAGTGCCACCGTCTGATTTGTTTTGAAGAACAAAACCTCTTGGAAAGTAAGAAACACAGACAATAAACCTGCCGAAGCATAATCTGAGTTCTGACTGTGATGGCGAAGTAGGTTAAAAAATAATGGTTTTTTTCTTGCAAATAAACATTAAAATATTAATCAAACCCCCGTTCAACTGTAATCAATTTACATACGCCCCGTATTGTAGAGAAAAAAGAATGAGCTTTTTTTCTTGCAGACTTAACTGGCGGGCAAAAGAAAGTATACACTTAAGAATTGGATTTGACTAAACAGTTACAAACGTTATCAAAAAGTTGTCATTCTGTAACTTGAGGTAAAAATACACACAAATGATACCAGTATCAAATACATCACCATCGAAAACCAAATCTTGTTTGTGTCACTTCTAGCCACCATCAAACATCGGTGTGTACGTTCTTTTGCCCGCCATTTTACATTAAAGTGGCCAAAGAATACGGTTCGTTAATGCTGTAATAACTGAGCAAATGTATCAGTTGGAAAAGATAATTGATCTCCTGAACATTGAAAAAGAAAATGCTGATCCAGAACCCAAATACTTTTGAAGCAGGTTTTGCACTTACACGAGTGAAGCACAAACACATCGTTTTAACACTTGACGTAAAATCCGATAGAAATTTATCGAAAATATATATTGCTCCCACTGTGCTCCCTCTTCACATAAATATGTCTATGTATTTAAGAAATAAAATCAATATTTTAAATGGATCAGGAGTTTACTAATTAAAAATCCTCAATAAAAAGATGAAAATGACGGGAGGCGGTAGAGGTAGCCTAATGGTTAAAGCGTTCGTTCTTCATATCGAAGCGATGTGTTTGATTCCCATATGGGTACAATGTGTGAAGATAATACGTGGTGGGACCGTGAAGATCCGGGGTAGAATAGGTCTTCATCAACCCATGCTTACCTTAAACGGTGACTGTGCTTGTCGTTAGAGGCGACTAACGGGATCGGATGGTCAGACTCGCTGACTTGGTTGATGCATGTCATCGATACAAATTGCGTTGATCGATGTTCATGATGTCAATCACTGGATTGTCTGGTTCAGACTCAGTTATTTTACATACCGCCGTCATATAGCTGGAATATTGCTAAGTGCGGCGTTAAACAACAAACAAACAAACAAACATTGGTGGTGTCCCCCGCCCTGCTATTGTTGGAATATTACTAAAAGTGGCGTAAAACCATACTCACTCACTCACTCAATAATAAGACGGCTATTCAATAGTTCAAAATAAAATAATTAATACTCAAAAGAACTGAAAACATATATTCAGTACATTTCACTTTCTCCACAACCATTTCTGATACACCGCTCATGCTTGTGCGTTTGGGGATGTTAATTCAAACAAACCATATGCAAACAATGTTAATCACGTCACGTCACGTGACCAGCAGTGTTGACAGTCGTGTGTTCGGTGTCTGTAGATAATCTGTGCAAATAAGTGACACAAGGACTCAAACAGGTTAACATTTGTTATAATCGCGTAGTGAATGGATTTCGCTTCTCCCAGCGTGAAATGGGTGTGTCAGATGATGTTTGGAGGGTTCGAACCGGCAGGTTTTGTCAAGAAACGTGGATGGAGGGCCCCCGCTATAACGCTCGCCCATGAAATCGGGTGTGAGGTTGTTTGTGTTGACATTGCCGATAATCACGCTATGTGGGAGATGTTGAAAGCATCCCTGGACCAGCTACCGGGGGTCGGTTCTTTCCACGTGACACCAACAGAGGCAGAGTACAACCAGCCTGTCAGCGGGGATTGTTACAGGTCAGTGTTTGCCAGGTGAACACGAGCAAGAAGATCAGGGTATATCAGAAATGGCCGACATCGCGAAAAAGTTGAAGACAATTCAAGGTGAGATGTTGGCTATGAACCTGAAATTTGATTTGTTTGTCAAAGATTAAGATGAGAGACTTGTGAATTTGAAATTGGAAAATGAAGAATTTAAGCAAAAGGTTATTAATCTAGAATTTAAAACTGATACCATTGAGGCTCAATCAAGAAGATCAAATCTCATATTTCCAGGCCTGAAAGAGGAAAGTGGAGAATCATGAGATATCAGTGAGTCGAAAGTTAGAGCCTTCCTCCATGATCAAACTAGACTTCCCGACGCTAATTCAGTACCAATAGAGAGGGCACACCGTCTAAACAGTAAGAAAGCAAATCGGCCTGTCATTGTCAAGTTGGCGTCTTACAAAGGTAAATCGAGTATTTCGGAGGCAGGCAGAAAGCAGCTTAAAGGTGACAATAACTGTCGCATATCGCTGTGTGTGAGTGAGTGAGTGAGTTGGGTTTAACGCCGCTTTTAACAGTATTACAGTTATATCGCGGCGTGTCAGCTTAATGTGGGAGGAAAGCCCGAAGTGTGCTGGTCTCAGACTTTTACCACTTCGTTGAAACCCACGAGCACGGGTATGGTGCTGACAAACCTAGAAACATAATCGGGGCGAACCGGGATTCGAACCCACATTCATAGGTTTCTGGCGTGCCCAAGGGACGCAACTCTGCACAGCGAATCGCAGCGCCTTAGACGACTGGGCCAGCCGTATCCCCTCGCATATCGGACTTCACAGAAAGAATGGGGTTGGCTTCGATCACAGTTGTTACCGTTTCTGGACAAAGCCCGGAAGGAGGGATGTACCGTCTTTTTAAGTGTGTACATTGTAGATGAATAAACGTCTGAGCTGCAACAAATTGGGCAGCGATGTAACTGGGTGAAGAGATCGTCTCCGCAAGCCCATTCCCATAGAGATAGAGATAGAGTGGCCTGAATTACGAAATAAATTTGATCGAATGTCAATTCCCAATACGTGATATTTACCATCCAGACACAAACAACCCGGGGACATTCTATTGACGGTGGATCAACACACAAGACGTTATCAATGCTTACATAAGTAAAGGTATACATTCATGCATCAACTTGCAATTATGTCGATTAATGAACGAAGAACTTAACCATTTACCGAGTAAATACAGGCGACGGTTCAAGTACCAATGCTAACCATATTGTCTGTATCGTTCTTTGTTTGAAGCAGTGTTATGACGAGTTGGATGTTATAAATACCAGAGTACATGTACGAGTGATTCTTAGCTTTTCTCTATTAGCTCAGATCAGAAAACACACGCAGTTGAGGAGGACGACGCCAACAATTGAGGGGAAAAGGAAAGAGGGTGCGTCAGTAATGATGGATTCAATTGCGTTGGAGAAGCGATGTTAAGCATATTGTCTGCATCGATCTTTTTTAAAACCAATGTTTGTGACGAGTTGGATGTTATAAATACCAGAGTACATGTGCGAATGATTCTTAAGCTTTGCTCAATTTTGCTCAGATCAGAAAACACACGCAGTTGAGGAGGACGACGCCAGTAGTTGAGGAGGAAGACGCCAACAGTTGAGGGGGAAAGAAAAAAGGGTGCGTCAGTAATGATGGATTCAATTGCACAGATCAGATATCAAGTTGGCTCACGTGTGCCCGTTATTGTGGTTTTGGTATCAATTATTGCTTGTTCCTGTTCGAGTGAGTTTCAAGGGGAACTTTTCACAGCAATGCCCGAGTGTTCTGAAGGTGCTATTCTTCCGGTGACTCCTGTCAACTCTGATTTTGTGTCATCTCGCGGTCAATGTTTGGCAAACTGTCTTGGAGATTCCACATGCATGTCCGTCAACCTCTGTGAAGATTCTCAGAGTGGACAGGTGTGTCACAGACTACCCGAGACGTCAAACGGGTCGTGTTCCGATCTTCAGTCGGCCGTTGGGTGTGTCTTTTTGGAGCCGGTGAGTAGATGATTTGGACTTTTTAACCATATTGTATCTGACATAATTCCTGATTGGAAACGTGTATTCGTAAATAGCCTCATTGGTGAATAATTATCAAAAGTGTGACCTTTTAAAACATGCGTAGGTAAAACGGGAACACAGCTGAAGATGAATCGACAAAACAGAAGGTAAAGTGACAGCACATGTTAAGGTAAAGTGAAAAGGCAGAATACAGGTGAAGGTACAGTGAGAATACAGGTGAAGGTAATGTAAGAATACGGGTGATGTTGAGGTGAGAATACAGGTGACGGTAAAGTAAGAATACAGGTGATGGTAAAGTTAACATACAAGGAAAGATAAAGTAGAATACAGGTGAAGGTAAAGTAAGAACACAGGTGAAGCTAAAGTGAGAATACAGGTGAAAGTAAAGTCAGAACACAGGTGACGGTAAAGTAAGAACACAGGTGACGGTAAAGTAAGAACACAGGGGACGGTAAAGTGAGAACACAGGTGAAGGTAAAGTGAGAACACAGGTGACGGTAAAGTAAGAACACAGGGGACGGTAAAGTCAGAACACAGGTGACGGTAAAGTGAGAACACAGGTGACGGTAAAGTAAGAACACAGGTGACGGTAAAGTAAGAACACAGGGGACAGTAAAGTAAGAACACAGGTGACGGTAAAGTAAGAATACAGGTGACGGCAAAGCGAGAACACAGGTGACGGTAAAGTAAGAACACAGGGGACAGTAAAGTAAGAACACAGGTGAAGGTAAAGTAAGAACACAGGTGACGGTAAAGTAAGAACACAGGTGACGGTAAAGTAAGAACACAGGTGACGGTAAAGTAAGAACACAGGTGACGGTAAAGTTTCAGGGTATGAAACTCCCAAAAATTTCAGCCAGACCACAGGACTGGCTAGCTGAAATACTTGCCAGCCCTGACCAAAACCTGCCTGCCCACTATAATCATATGTTTCTCAGGATAAGCTAAAGGGGTTTCTTTTTGGTTACATTTTATCATTCATCTTTACATGTGAACTAATGCTTATCATCGGGAAATATTTTGAATATTTTCAGATATGAAATATAACCCGACCGTCGGGCAGGGGAATTTGAAAATCTGGCAGCTCGAGTTGAAATCAACCCGTCTCGGACGGTCGGGCAGGCAGGTATTTCGAACACTGGGTAAAGTAAGAATACAGGTGACGGTAAAGTAAGAAAACAGGTGAAAGTAAAGTAAGAATACATGTGAAAGAAAAGTAAGAACACAGGTGACGGTAAAGTAAGAACACAGGGGACGGTACAGTAAGAATACAGGTGAAGGTAAAGTAAGAACACAGGTGACGGTAAAGTAAGAATACAGGTGACGGTAAAGTGAGAACACAGTTGACGGTAAAGTAAGAATACAGGTGACGGTAAAGAATGAATACAGGGGACGGTAAAGTAAGAATACAGGGGACGGTAAAGTAAGAATACAGGGGACGGTAAGTAAGAACACAGGTGACGGTTAAGTTTCAGGGTATGAAACTCCCAAAAATTTCAGCCAGACCACAGGACTGGCTAGCTGAAATACTTGCCAGCCCTGACCAAAACCTGCCTGCCCACTATAATCATATGTTTCTCAGGATAAGCTAAAGGGGTTTCTTTTTGGTTAGATTTTATCATTCATCTTTACATGTGAATTAATGCTTATCATCGGGAAATATTTTGAATATTTTCACATATGAAATATAACCCGACCGTCGGGCAGGGGGATTTGAAAATCTGGCAGCCCGAGTTGAAATCAACCCGTCTCGGACGGTCGGGCAGGCAGGTATTTCGAACACTGGGTAAAGTAAGAACACAGGTTACGGTAAAGTAAGAATACAGGTGAAAGTAAAGTAAGAATACAGGTGAAAGTAAAGTAAGAACACAGGTGACGGTAAAGTAAGAACACAGGGGACGGTAAAGTAAGAACACAGGGGACGGTAAAGTAAGAACACAGGTGAAGATAAAGTAAGAACACAGGGGACGGTAAAGTAAGAACACAGGTGAAGGTAAAGTAAGAACACAGGTGACGGTAAAGTAAGAACACAGGGGCTGGTAAAGTAAGAATACAGGGGACGGTAAAGTAAGAACACAGGTGACGGTAAAGTAAGAACACAGGTGAAGATAAAGTAAGAACACAGGTGAAGATAAAGTAAGAACACAGGGGACGGTAAAGTAAGAACACAGGTGACGGTAAAGTAAGAACACAGGTGAGGATGAAGTCAGAACTCGGGTGAGGGTGAAGTAGGGATATAAGTGACCGTAAAGTAAGAATACTGGTGAAGATAAAGTAAGAACACAGGGGAAGGTTAGGTTAGAATACAGATGACGATAAAGACGAGTAAGAATACAGGTTAAATAACGTAAAAAATCAGGTGAAGGTAAAGGAAGAATGCAGATGAAGGTTAAGTGTTAAGTAAGAACACAGGGGACGGTAAAGTAAGAACACAGGTGAAGATAAAGTAAGAACACAGGGGACGGTAAAGTAAGAACACAGGTGAAGGTAAAGTAAGAACACAGGTGACGGTAAAGTAAGAACACAGGTGAAGATAAAGTAAGAACACAGGGGCTGGTAAAGTAAGAATACAGGGGACGGTAAAGTAAGAACACAGGTGACGGTAAAGTAAGAACACAGGTGAAGATAAAGTAAGAACACAGGTGAAGATAAAGTAAGAACACAGGGGACGGTAAAGTAAGAACACAGGTGACGGTAAAGTAAGAACACAGGTGAGGATGAAGTCAGAACTCGGGTGAGGGTGAAGTAGGGATATAAGTGACCGTAAAGTAAGAATACTGGTGAAGATAAAGTAAGAACACAGGGGAAGGTTAGGTTAGAATACAGATGACGATAAAGACGAGTAAGAATACAGGTTAAATAACGTAAAAAATCAGGTGAAGGTAAAGGAAGAATGCAGATGAAGGTTAAGTGAGAATATAGGCGTATATAAAGTAAGAATACAGGTGAAGATAAAGTAAGAATACAGGTGAAGAGAAAGTAAGAATACAGGTGGGGATAAAGTAAGAATGTAGGTGAATATAAAATAAGAATACAGGTAAAATAAAGTAAGAACACAGATGAAGATAAAGTAAGAACACAGGTGAAGATAAAGTAAGAACACAGGGGAAGGTAAAGTAAGAACAAATGTAAAGGCAAAGTAAGAATACAGGTGAAGATAAAGTAAGAATTCAGGTTAATGTAAAGTTTGAATAGAGGTGAAGATAAAGTAAGAATATAGGTGAATGTAAAGTTTGAATATAGGTGGATGTAAAGTTTGAATAGAGGTGAAAGAAAGTAAGAATAGAGGTTATGGTAGAGTGAGAACATAGGTGAAGGTATAATAATAACAGAGGAGAAGGTAAAGAAAGAGTACAGGTAAGACTAAAGTGAAAATACAGGTAAAAGTAAAGTCAGAAAACTGGAGAGGATAGTGAAGGTTGGGAAGAAGATAGACACCTATGTACCGGTAGGTGGGGTCACCAAAGGCGTGGATGATGTCAAGGATTATTTTATCGACCTGTTTCTCCTGAGCCCATTTAAAAAACACTGATTTAATTAATTTTCCTGTGACTAAAGCAGCTGTTATTGATTGATTCGAATGACAGCGTGGGTGTTTACTGCTTGTTGTCCTTGGATACAGGTATCATGTCAACATGTACACATGAGAAGGTTTACATGCATGTGTGTGTTTTGTCAGAATGAAATCAGCATTTTGTGGTTTGATAAAAGAAATCTGTTGGTGCCAATTGCCTATCTATCTTGGATTTCATACAGGACGACATTGTAAACTATCATTAATCATAAATCTTAAATAAAGTTTTCTGGTTTATGTATAGAGTACCACACAAGAACAACAGAAGTTTGTGAAAGGTAATGCCTGGGCCATGACGGCGCAAATACGGTAGAACAACGGGGCCGATGATCTCGTCTCGGTAGCGCTGTCCATTGAGATTTCCCTCTACCACTATCAAACGGGTCCTCTGTCTTGCTGTAATCCCACCCCATACCATAACGCTGTCACCCCCGAACCGATCTTCTTCCATGACACAATGATTGACGTAACGTTCACCTCGACGTCGGTACACTCGAATCCGTCCATCGCTATGGCTGAGGTGAAAACGAGACTCGTCAGTGAATAGAACTTGTCCCCACTGCATGGCCGTCCAGAGTAGATGCTGTCTGTTTCCTGTCAAAATGGGACGTGTGGCGAGGCTTCTGGCGACATTCCCTGCACATCTGTGGCGACGAAGATATTTGTCGAATGTCAGGAATGCTTCTTGCAGTCTTGGCTGGAATCGATTTCGTAGGTGTGTTGTTCGAATCCAGTTGTCTTGTCGATTATTGGTTATGCGTGACCAGCCATTCCGAGGATGGTCTCTGACTACATTCGACTGTTGCCAACATTGCCATAAAAACCAAATGGTGTTGCTGTGGACGTTAGATTGTCTTGCAACATCATGTTGACTCGACCCTGCTGCAAGCATACCAATGGCTCGCAGACGCTCATTTTCGGACAAGCGTGGCATTTCGTAATGTTGAATAATTGCATAATTTTGTTGTTTTTCTGAGTGGTTGTTGTCAGCACGATGCTAAACAATGCATATGGAATCCCGTTAACGCAAATGTTTTTATACCCATTCTTGGGTAGTGAAATGCATGGCGCTTGCATAAAAGTCAACTTTGCATGGAATACATGCTTTTCTGTAGCAGTTGCGTTTTGTGACTTGATTCCATACATGTTCTACAATATTGAAAACCAAACTTTACTTGTTTGAAAAATTCACTAAAATATTGGTGTCACAGGAACTTTTGTTGTTGAGTATACATCTGTCCCCAAAGGATGAGGACAATTTGTCTAAAGTGAAGACAAATGACATATGAAGTTTACTGAGGAAAAAATAAGTGCATTGTTGGATTTCCTGATATATAACACCTATGTGAAATTTGGGGATAGGACATTCAGGTAAGAAGTTGGCCTGAACATCTTCTCAGATTGTCGGGGCGGTCGGGTAGCCTAGTTGTTAAAGCGTTCGCTCGTCATGACGAAAACCCGGGTTCGATTCCCGACATGGGTACAATGTGTGAAGCCCATTTCTGGTTTCCCCCGCCGTGATATTGCTGGAATATTGCTAAAAGCGGCGTAAATCCACACTCACTCACTCACTCTCAGATTGTCAAAATCAAAACAGGGGAATCTGGCCAAGAAGTTTGACATAAACTCCCGTATATCAATGATCTGATATCGTTAAAAAGCGCTCAAACAGCTAATTCCCTTTCCACTGATTTACCCTTCTGAAATAGTACCTACCCGTAAACACGCCTGTGTTGTTTCATATTTATGTCTCTGACTGAAGATTGAAAGAACGTTTCACATAACTTTGCGACCAGAAGGTCCACTGTGTCTTCATGTAGAGCAATATCCCATCAGCTCCAGCCTTTAGTGTTTTTCTCATTTCACGTGCCACCGGTGGGACAGGATACGCCCACATTGCCGCGAACATCTGGTCTCACCACTTTTGTGACCACTATTACGACGAATCGGTAAAATAATCAAGGCGAATTTGAGATCCTAACCAACGATACACGGAAACTGACACGGTTAACTCACTCAACTGCTGTGCACGTTTAGTTCTCCTCACTACAAACAAATGTGTAAACAATATTAAGAAATTATATACTTGGGTCATGATATCGGGGAGCCCAGACGTCTTAGGCAACAAAATTTGTTTGCACTTTTGCGTCTCTTAGACGTTACAGAAACCTATTGTCATGGTTTCGCATTCAGGTTTACCCTAATTATGTTTCTTGAATTGTCAGAGTGAGTGAGTTGGGTTTAACGCCGCTTTTAACAGTATTCCAGTTGTATCGCGGCGTGTCAACTTAATGTGGGAGGAAAGCCCGAAATGATGAAGGTCTCAAACGTTTACCATTTCCGTGAAACCCACGAGCACGTGTATGGTGCTGACAAACCTAGAAACATAATCGGGGCGAACCGGGATTCGAACCCACAATCATAGGTTTCTGGCGTGCTCAAGGGACGCAACTCTGCACAACGAATCGCAGCGCCTTAGACGACTGGGCCACCCGTGCCCCCTGGATTGTCAGAACCATTCCCTTGTTCGTGGTTTTCTACTGCATGTATCACTTCAGGCTTTCCTGTTATGACTGAAATACTGTTCAAACATTCCTTATTCAAGACTGTTTTGTGTCTTAATATCATTAATAGAATTGCGCTAGGACATTAATTTTTAAAGAAATCACTTTCGTGACACAGGGCTTCTTCAAAATGCCTTGAAAATAACGTTACCGTTAATATAGCTAAAATGGACAGAACGTGTAGCTAATCCCCCAAAGAACAAAACTACAAACATCAGCATACGTTTACTGGCTGTATTAAATACCTCACAATTGAGGTCACTGATTTACAAATAGCAAAGTCTTTGAACATAATTTAGGACGACGTCACAAACAAGAAACGTGATGTCACTGACGTCACATAATAATAGAATAGCGAAATAAGCGAAATGCGGACTGCTATCACGTTACGGTGGCTCGCAGATTTCTGATAACATGCGGACATGTTTATGATATTCTATCCATTTTAGCTACAATACTTGTTCAAACGTTCACATTTAGTGCATTATATATTCCATTTGTAACGTTTGTGTTTACTTTACAGTGTTGTATGGGAAACACATGTACTGGTTCTGTCAATTATAGCGGCTTCAAGTGTCAGGTTTTCATTTTGACATGACATGTGCGATAAAGATACCAGATAGTGTAAACGTTTCGGCATAATATTCGTTATTGTGTCTTTAGTCGTATCAGGTTAACAGAAAAATATTGGGCGAGGTGTTTAATATAACGCCGTGTACGGCAACTAAAATTCACTATGACTAATATCTCACATCCCACACACAAAATAAACGTGACATTCATACCAGGGTGGTATTTTCCTCTGAGGAGACAACTTGAACTGATTCGTTCTTCATAGCGGATGTCATGAGTATTCACAGCCACTCATCAAAGGAAACTGTTTATAAAGATAACCCAAACTATGTGATTGATACTCTTACAGAGGGATTTGCATTTCAGTTTTGATAGGCTCCTTTGGAGTTATATATTACAAGGAAGAGTGAGTGAGTATGGTTTTTGCCTTTCACCTATTAGCAATATTCTAGCAAAATCATGGCTTTGACACTAGAAAATTGGCTTTACAGATAGTACTCATACACATGGACGATATCCCAGTATTGAGGTAGACATAATTAGTTTGGTTATCCACGAATAATTTCCAACTGGTTTGGTTTCAGGTGAATGTGTGCCAGCACGGTGGAAGGTTCAATGACTCCATGTCTAAGTGTGACTGTTATGATGACTTCACAGGAACCTACTGTGAGAGGCGATACAGAGGTGAGTCAGGAAGCCTGGTTCCCAGGAATCTAAAGTAATATACTCCAAACGTCTGTCCGGTGTCGTCGGGGATTTAGAATGTCCATATTATGTTAAAAAGAGACCTCGTGGGCACCCGGGGTAGAATGTGTCATTTATTTATCATTTCGGTGAGAGGCGACCGAATTGGACAACCTTTTTGCCGCGGGTTGCGTTCCTGTGTCGGCGGAGGACGGGAGTCTGGTGGTTGAGGGCACTAGATCCATGAGCAGCGTCCCTGTGTCGGCGGAGGACGGGAGTCTGGTAGTTGAGGGCACTAGATCCATGAGCAGCGTCCCTGTGTCTGAGGAGGACGGGAGTCTGGTGGTTGAGGACACTAGATCCAGGAGTTGCGTCCCTGTGTCGGCGGAGGACGGGAGTCTGGTGGTTAAGGGCACTAGATCCATGAGCAGCGTCCCTGTGTCGGCGGATGACGGGAGTCTGGTGGTTGAGGGCACTAGATCCAGGAGTTGCGTTACTGTCAGCGGAGGCAAGGAGTCAGGTGGTTGAGGGTACTAGATCCATGAGCAGCGTCCCTGTGTCTGAGGAGGACGGGAGTCTGGTGGTTGAGGACACTAGATCCAGGAGTTGCGTTCCTGTGTCTGAGGAGGACGGGAGTCTGGTGGTTGAGGGCACTAGATCCATGAGCAGCGTCCCTGTGTCGGCGGAGGACGGGAGTCTGGTAGTTGAGGGCACTAGATCCATGAGCAGCGTCCCTGTGTCGGCGGAGGACAGGAGTCTGGTAGTTGAGGGCACTAGATCCAGGAGTTGCGTTCCTGTGTCTGAGGAGGACGGGAGTCTGGTGGTTGAGGGCACTAGATCCATGAGTTGCGTTCCTGTGTCGGCGGAGGACGGGAGTCTGGTGGTTGAGGGCACTAGATCCAGGAGTTGCGTTCCTGAGTCGGCGGAGGACGGGAGTCTGGTGGTTGAGGGCACTAGATCCATGAGTTGCGTTCCTGTGTCGGTGGAGGACGGGAGTCTGGTGGTTGAGGGCACTGCAGCTGCATCCAGGAGGAGCGTTCCTTTGCCACATACACCACTTCGACACTTACTTCGACTAGACGGGTGGTAGGATGGGCCCGGTCCTATCAATCCGCTGTCCTTTATTTGTATTTGCACAAAGTTTGATTGAGCATTTTTATTGTGATGCCATAGTCGTATGCAATGAAGGGGGTGGCTCTTGGGCCGATGTGGTGGGCTAAATTACGTTCCTAATTCGTCTGCTTGAGTATTCTATTCTTGTATGCTTGGTGCTGCCAGTAGGAGATCCACTGGCGTATAGCATTGCCCCTGCGATGTACTCCATGTTGGGCGGGGATCTTGGATGTTGAACCATTTACAACCTCAGAATATCACAACCCAAAAAATACATAGACTGCAAAACAATCAACAAACTTACTAGCTGCCACACATTTAGTTTCTCCTCCAGTTTTGATTACACTGCACAAAACTGTATTTTCAAATTTTGGGAACATTGTCTCTCTGATAAGACAGAAATTGAAAAAGCTGAAGAACTGAATATCGGGGAGTAACAAACGTCCAACGTTTCACGTGCAAAGGAGATAATCAAAATCTTCAACTCACATACTAACCTCATGACATTTTCTAAACCAACGCGTCCAACAAATAGCAGGATATTTTAACATCTAAGTGGATCAATACATTCCACACGCACTTCGATGTTACAAATGCCAGCAATTTGGGCACGGTGCACTATGACACAACCATCGCAAGATATGTCATCAGAGTTGGGAAAATGCTCTGGTGAACATGCGGCTTTCTCGAAGTCCTGACCTAAATTTAGAATTCAACTTCAGATTGTAAAAAATAAATCATAAGAAAAACATAACTTTCCCAGAAGCTAAGCGTTTGGTCATGGCTATTGTTTCGGGACAAAATTGGCACCGGCGCCAGAACCGGCATCAAAACCATCCCCTGTTTTTATAAATACCAGCAGCAAAAATGATAATTCAAAAACTTCATGTGATGTCACGAAGGGTCACCGTGCCACTATGCAGATTTATTCTGCCGGTTTCAAACCTTGGAGGACATGGATGTCTCTCCTCATCCTCACAGGCGAAAGATAAGTATCTCGCCACGAAATATGAGAGATACACACAAAAAATTAAACGCACAGGTAGTATGTAGTTCATTGAACCTAAGTACACAAAATATCCGGTATATAAATTGGATATATGTGATTGGAAAATGTTTGTGGCCTCATATTCGACAAACGGTGCGTCAAAACGCAGCCATTGTCGATTTGCAATGACTTAAACGGCATTGTTTTCACACTTGTTCAATAATGTCATGGAGTAAAACAGTAAAGCAAAATGTACGTGCAAGTTATGGCATTCATAATGGCTATAAAAAGGTAAGCATAAGCCAATAATTTGTCATTTCAAGTTCGAAAATGCCGAGACTCAGCGCTGCCGATCGGAACATCGCCAAAGGACGTATCCAAAGAGGGGAATCGCAGTCTTCAGTTGCACGCAACGTCAACGTCCACCACAGCACCATTTGCCGCCTTTGGGACCGATACACACAGTTCAATTCCACTGCAGACCGTCCATAACCGGCCGACCAAGAGTTACCACCCCTGCACAGAATCGCTATATGTTACTGTTCCACCTACGTCATCGCAATGCAACAGCTACGGAGACGACAGGACGCATCCCTGGTTTGAGGAGGATATCGGACCAGACTGTTAGGAACCGTCTTCGCGAGATTGGAATCCGACCCAGAAGACCAGTTATCGTCCCTGTTTTGCAACAGATCCATCGACAGCGACGCTTGCGTTGGTGCAAGACGAGTGTGGTTTAGCAATAAATCACGATTTCTTCTTCACCGCCGAGATGGATGACAACGTGTTTATCGTCGTCGAAATGAGCATTTTGCCCTACATTGTGTACGTCAATTCGACAATTTAGGTGGCGGTAGTGTCATGGTGTGAGGGGCCATGTAATTGCTGAATCTGTAAATCCACACATTCGAAATAATTAAGAATAATAAAGCGACAAAACCCTTTCCATATCCAAAAGGGATCTCTGCATAATGCAGAGTCGATTGTGCTATTCCGACTTTATCATAAGCATGTGTTTATGAACCACTATCAAAAATCCTGCCCAACCCTAGGCACTCGTCACAAACACATGCAAAGACAAGTCAAGTGTTCACCTGAAAAAGCACGGGAAAATATGTTACAAGTCAAAATAGGGAATTGCATCAGACATTATTCAAGTCACTGATGCGTCAAATTTGGAAATGAGCTCCACATACCAACCAGAAAAAACTTTTGAAAGCTTTACTGAGGCCTTGAATGTTCTAACCTTGAGTAAACACCTTCTGAGCAAGGGTCGTATGACGCTCGTTGAAATCTTGGTTCAAAGAGCATGCTCGATTGTATCTCAAAAGTTGTGAAATGTAAACACCAAAGGCAGGAACTGTTGGAATATTACTCGACATAAAGGGAAAGTTGACCAGTGGAAAGTTGCAGTCGTCCCTCTTGTCATACAGTCTTGTGGAGAGTGCCTTGTCCCTCTGAATCTTTATGCATAGATCTAAATGTGAAACCAATGAGGCAGTCTCACTGATTTCTAGTTCAGGTGGGTAAATCAGTGGAAGGGAATTAGCAATTTAATTGTTATTGAACGGTGTAAGATCATCGATATACCTGAAGCTTAATTTAAACTTCTTGGCCAAATGCCCTTGTTTTGACTTTGTAAATTTGAGCAGAAATACCGATCCATATGCTGAAAGAAACAGATCCGCAAGAAGTGGAAAAGTGGAGATTGGTGCCCATCACGATGCCCATGTCTTACCCCCAAATTTTACATAGATGGTATCAATGACGAAGCCCAGCATTTCACATATTGTTTTCTGAGTAAACTTCAGATGGCAATTGCTTTCATTTTACACAAATTGCCCTGAACCTCTCAATATAGATATGTAACTGTATCTATGGTCACCACGTTTTGTAACTAATAGATGGAGAAATGAAGTTTTTACTTAAGTTTGTCATGTGATATCAAAAATCAAATGTTTTGAAAGAATGGAACGGTTCTTTTCTAAACGCATGGTTTGACAAACCAGTTAGGTAGTGCAGGAAAAAAGCGGAGAATATTTCGCCGACATCCAACTGTCCTTAACTTGAACCATTTTAACATCAAAGTACGTTGTACTTTTAAACAAAATAAGCGTTAGTCCTGGAGGAATTATGTTTCAAAAATAATTTCTCGCACACCAATGCCCAAGATGTGGAACATGATTGCAAAAGTTAAAGGCGAAAAATCAAAATCGAGTGTCCACCATCTCAAGGAAGGTGACCATCTCTTAACAGATAAATTAGACATTGCAAATAAATTGCGCAAACGCTGGCCAAGCACTCTCTATCATCGAGATATGCTCGAAAGTTTCAGGAAAAGAAGAGGTTTGATTTTACTTCTCAATATGGAGAAGATTACAATGAAGAATTTTCGCTCCACGAGCAAAATACTGCGCTTGTCAAGCACACGAGTCCTGAAGCATTTGCCTGATTCATGTTTAGAGACACTTGTAGGTATATTTGGATCTTGATATCAGGGAGTTTTCATCCTTCGTGGCGTTATGCAATAGTTGTTCCTTTACCTGTATATAACTGGAAGCGACCATAAAGATGCATCTAATTATCTACCAATATCACTAACCAGCTGTGTTTCCAAAACAATGGAGCGAATGAAAAATAATCGACTGGTGTGACACTTGGACACCAACAATCTCATTAGTTTGGGTTTGGCTTGTTTGCTGTTTTACGCCGCACTCAGCAATATTCCAGCTATATGACGGCGGTTTGTAAATAATCGAGTCTGGACCAGACAATCAAGTGATTTGATATCGTGAACATCAACCCACGCAATCCAGCGAGCCTGACCACCCGATCCCGTTAGTTGCCTCTTACGACAAGCATAGTCGCCTTTCGGGGCAAGCATGGGATGCTGAAGAACTATTCTAACCCGGATCTTCACGGGTCAATCTCATTAGTAACATTCAATGTGGTTTCTGTCAATAAAGACCATCTGGTACGTTCAGAAACTTTTGTTAAAAATGCCATCGCAAATAAACGGCATGCAATATCAATCCTTTTCGATTTAGAAAAAGCGTTTGACACCACATGGAAGCATGGTATTTTAACAGATCTACATGATTAGAGGTTCAGAGGCCATTTGCCTCAATTGATATCCCATTTTTTAACAGACAATATAAGTTCGTTTGAGTTCCACCCTGTCTGACCTTTGCAATCAGGACCAGGGTGTTCCAAAGGCAGCATTTTGTCTGTCACTCTGTTTAGTATGTAATCTGATGGTCTTAAATGATTCATTTGATGGATTTCTTTTTGTGGATGAATTCCATGTTGTTGCACCACATAAGCGTACAACAGATAGTTGCAGCTTTGTCTCAACAAAAAACAAAATAGTCTCTTGAAAATGGCTTTAAATTTTCTAAAGCCAACACCAATTGCATTCATATTTGTTGGAACTACAAGCACCATAAAGATCCTGAACTACTTTTAGATGAGACTCGTATCAAGGTTGCAGTTAAGGCTAAGCTTCTAGGACTCATTTTCGATCATCATTTTTGATTTTCGTCCCCATATAATTTATCTAAAACCTAAATGCCAGAAGGCTCTTGATTTGTTGAAAGTCGTTGCTAATACAAAGTGGGGAGGTGATCAGAGAACCCTGCTCCACTTTTATATGTCTCTTGTTCTCTCTGAATTAGACTATGGCTCCATTGTTTTTGGTGGAGCTTGTAAGAGCAATTTACAAAACTTTAATTCAATTCACCAACAGGGCCGGAGACTTTGGCTTGTGGCGCATTTCGAACATCTCATGTTGATAGCCTCTATGTTGAAGCTGATGAACCTTCTTATCAAATTATTGCTCCAATTCATTACTAAATTACATTCTACCTCATTAAACCCTGCATACAAGTGTGTTTTTCAACCCCTTTATAAAGAGGTGTTCACAGTTAGCCTAAGCCAGTCCCACAACTAGGCATTCGGTTTAGACGCAACGTTACAGCTGCCAATATTGATTTAGATATTATCTCTCCTATCAGGCTTTTGTCCTCTCCCTCATGGTAGTTGGTAAAGGCAGAGATAAACATTTACTTATTTAAAGAAGTCTGAAACAAATCGACTACTTTATCAACAAAAATATAATAAGTTAAGAAGCACATATGACACTTAAAAATATATATTTACAGACGGATCCAAGGATCCTGACGCAGTTGCCTGTCACCGTGATTGGATCTTGGACTATATCTTAACGATTACCAAACAATAGTTCTAATTTTACATCCGTATCACATGCCATTTTAACAGCTCTAAAATATATTGGTAAACAATCCAAGCATAGGCAATTTGTGTTATTATCAGGCTCTCTCCCTCTCTCGTGTCTTAAGACTATTAAACACAGATCATGTAAGCATCCACTTAATCACAATTAATATAATGGCCTTGCTACTGGCAAATATGATATCAGTCCTGCTTCACTGCATTGATTTTTCAATAACAAGGGATAATTATTTCCAGATTTCATCCGTAAAATATCTTTTTTATGTAAGTTCTCGTTTGTTTCTTGTTTTTTTAAAAGACATTGAGTTAATTGAGTGAGTGAGTGAGTTACAGTAATTTTACAGTACTTTAACCCCCGTCAAGGGCACAGCCAATAGCAATCTCAGTTAACATTTAGACGCTACCAATTTAAGAAACTATGTACATAAGAATTTAGTAATCAGTTCAGTTTCTTTTAAAAAGCCAATAATTAGATGAGGGCTCATACTATTAAAATATCCTTAAGCGATGATGATTTGAAATAGTTATCCCTTGTGTTAGAAAAATCAATACAGTCAAGCAGGACATGCTTGACCATGATTCTCTCATCACACGACACCGTCGTATTATGACCTCTTGAAATCTGGACTGACATCCCAAGTAGATGTAACCAATAGTTGGTTTTATTTCATGTAATTTATTTATACCTACTTGGGTGTCCCCACCGATGATGTTTTATCATAGAGATTTTCGTAAAGGGGGTAAAAACACAGTCATATGCTGGATTCGAGTTATTAGAGCGTAATTTAGAGACATACTGTAAGGATAATATAATTCGGCGTTGTTTAAGAGATGGCTCATCAGCCTCATGGTACAGACTGTCAATAGGAGAAGTTCAGAATGATCAAAGACAGAGTCTTAGACCTTGATGATGGATAGTATCCAAAAGTTTAAGATTGCTGTTCCAGGCTGCACCATAGATGATGGAGCCATAATCCAGTTTAGAGCGAATAAGTGTTCTGTACAGTTGGAGGAGGGGTTTCTGATCCCCTTCCCACTTGGAATTTGAAACTACTGTCAGTAGGACAAGGGCATTCAGGCACTTATTTTTCAAATATTTAACGTGTGGTAAAAATGTTAAATTGTGATAAAATATAATACCCAGGATCTTAGCCTCTTTTACAACTTTAATTGGGGTGCTATCTAAAACTAAATCAGGGACTTTATGAGGTTTGTATTTCCTACAGAAATGTATACAATTTGTTTTGGATTTTGAAAATTTAAAACCATTTTCCAATGACCATTTATGAGTTAATTGATCAATTTTGATAATATGTATTGTAAATAGAAAGTGATTTTATTTGGTGGAATGAATGAATAACTTAGATTGTGTCTGTACCTTCAAAAGGAGTTGAGGTGATGTTAAATAGCCCTGAGAGGGTAGGTAAGTCTCATTTCATTCAAAGTATTTTTCATCTTTCCGTGGTTTTAATCGTAGAATACTTGTTGGTTATAATTTAATTGGCTTAAGTCACACACAATCACCAGTGGCCAGAGGAATGGTTTAAATCCTGCTTGGGTACCATGCAGGAAGCAGATGCACCGTAAGTCCCCATGGTCCCTAGTAAAGTGTCCTGACTTTGGTTGCTTGTAATCTATAGACCCTGTTTATAATGTATCGTTTTGAAAAATCCATTTTTTATGGTTGCATAACAGATTTAAATCTGCATCTGTGATAATCTAGTGCATTTACTGTGCTTTGTCGACAGATTTTATAGTCTATAACTATATATTATTACTGAGACACTTGAATTAGTTGCGATATGGCTGATATATTGCCGTTGTGATTATAAATCTTAACTCACACACTAAAAAGCACAACCTGATGACTACAACAACTAATCTACATGCAGCTTGAAAGGTTCAGTTTTACTCACTGAATTTGTAATCCTTGTTTCAAATTATAGCACAACACAAGAATTAATTGTTTGTAGTTTGTGAGCTGTTTAATGTCACAGTTTTCAATTTTTCAGCCATATCAGGTTGGTCTGGGTCAGAAAAACTAATTATTATCAGCAACGTGCAATGACACTGGGTACCATGACAAAGTCAAAGAAGACACCAATCCTCACAACCCGATCCATTAAGTCGCCTTGTACGACAAGTATGGGTACTTACGACCAATTCTTGTGGTATTTCATCATCAGCATTTACTTTTGCAGACTGTTCGGAAGCTTATGCTGGAGGGTTGAGAGGGGTAGGGAATTCCTATCGTAACATCCCCATCCGGCCACTCCTGGCTCCCCGAGAATACCAGGTGGAATGTTATCTTGCCAGCAAAGGATGGAGTGTGGTTGGGAGCCGAGGAACTAACTGTCAGGAAGACTACAACAAAACCTGGTCTGAGTACAAGAATGGCTGGGGCACCTCGTGTTCTGTTTGGCTAGGACTTGAAGCTATTCACTACATTACCAACCAGGCGACATGCCAACTGTATGTAATGGTAAATGATAATCTAGGGTTTTACTACCGGAGCTTCAGGCTTGACGATGAAGCAAATAGTTACACGCTCACCTACACCACTACGTATTCGCATGCGACGAAACACACAGGGAATGGGTTTGAGTATGGAGAACCCAACAAGAGCATGAAAGGTGAGAAATTCGCCACGTGGGATCATCCCGACTCCTCAGGATGCGCTTTGAGTGATGGGACAGGGTGGTGGTACGGGACTGTCTGCCCCGATACCAATCTCCACAAGAACTTCACTACGAGCGCAGTGCAATGGCCGGATGATGGTGATGTCTTACATACAGTGATGAACCACAAATTATGGATAAAAGTGTCCTGGCCATAGCAGTGTCAACAGCAGGCTGCAGAAAACCATATAAACCGTATTCCTGTTCTATTTTTAGATTTTAGGGTCTAGGGAAAAACATGTTAAATAGTCTTACAAAGTACATATTTACACCAAAGAAAAAATTCATATGTGATTTCATTGTTATGTGAAAAGCAACAACTAATTGCCCTGATCCCACAATTATCGCGTATGCATATTGAAATCCCAGCCAGAGCCAGTGCTGTAACTGTGACGTCACAGTGGACAAACGACCATGCACATTGATCAAAATACATGCTCATGTTATATTATATTTGGCACAAGTTTGGTGTACTTAGATTAACATGTTCTGTTCATGGTCTTGCGTACTTGAAACCATTGTCTGATTCTACAGGAGAGGACTCTCTCGTTTTTGTTCACAAAACATTCAGGATGAACATTTCTCCATTTTCTACTACTCCCTCCTCCCCTGAATCCCGAATACCATCTCATTTTTCACTCATTTCTCCCATGAAACCAGAATACTACTCAACACAAATCTCAAAAGCATTGAGATAAGATTTACAATTACAGACTCATGATTACAATTACTGAAAAAGTAAAATGAATATATAAAGGAAATTTTTGCGTACACCATTAAGTTTATAAATATGGATCTGCATACCAAATACGATTTTATACGAGTCCCAAGTACCACATCGCTGAGTACCGAATACCATCCAAATAGACCTCTAAATGCCACATACAAAAAGGGGGTTGGCAGCCTCATTTTTGAGATTTGAAGTGGAGAATCTTCTGTGTGCACAGTATCTGTAAGCCCTTAATTTAATTGAGTCTTCATTTAAGAAAAAGAGAGTATATGAAACACGTTAATACTCACCACCACATATGTTATGTACACCTGTTTTGAATGAAAACAGGACAGATGATATTAATGAAGTTATCATACCCCCCATGTGAGAATAATGAGATCTGATTGGTCCACGTGATATTGTTAAAATACAATATATCCAGCCTTGGAGGGAAATACATTTCGCAGCGGCGGAAAAAAATCTCTTATTATCCACAGAAAGCAAGTCAGGCTGCACGTGGATTTATGGAGGCAGAATAAATCCCTTATACCCTGCTTCGTAGGGAAAGAGACCACACTTTTTCCTAGTCAATGGAAGTCACGTGACATAGCACGAGTTAACCTCAACTCAATCGAACACCAGTTTTGTATCAATTTTGAATTTGTTTTAATTCTTTTACAATGTCATCATGTCGGTACGATACGTTGTAGCAGGATCACTCTGTACCCATTGGGTTTTATGCGTCCCGAATTAGGTTTTATGCCACTCGACTCTGACTCCTGGTATAAAACCTTACCAGCGACGCATGAAATGTCTTTGTCATGAAAAATAAAAAAAGTATCATGTAACTGCCTCCGGAATGATTTTTCATGTCAATGTGAAAAGAAATTATTTGTGTGTCACTGTTATTTGATGTATGCTTATTATCGATTATTAATAATAAGTTTTTTTCAAATGTTCCCTCGGTCAGGAGGGAAGTTGTAACTGGTTGTGGATTTCAAAAGGAGGTTTGTTGGAGGATGGCGGTGGCTTTATGCCCTGAATCCCGCCTCTGGATCCATCATCGACGATTATTTCAGTCATTTTCTGTCTAATTCTGGGATAAGTTATTGGTTGACAAAAAAACAAACTATTTTAAGTTAGAAAAGCGTGAATTTGGTGTTCATTTTTGTGATTAATGATTATTGGACAGGTAGTTTTAGTTTGATGTCAGTTTTAATTCATTTATTTGTTGTTAAATAAATTTATATCATTCTTCGTTTGTTTCTCTCTCTAATATAGGGAAGTCCATGATATAATCATGGATTAGTTTTTGACAAGATGAGTAGTCACTGTGCATGGTAGTAAGGTAAATGCCTGCCACTAACATCCCTCTTTTGATCAATGAAGTACATATCATTATAACAGTTTACACTGCAGTATCAACTGAACTAACCATCACTAGACAGTATTGAAAATAAATTTAGCCAAAAATAGCCCTGTCCTTGTTGTCAAGACTATTTTGGTTCATATCGTTATGGACTAATATGTGTAGGTCATTGAGCGAAAATCTTACGTTTTCATCAGTGGCATTGTCAGGTGATGCCATGGCGAACGCCAGTAAACTACCAAACACTTCTGACCTTTTTCACACTTCACTACTTCCGGTTTGAAATCGAGGCTTGAAGAGCAGAAGGTAGAAGTATTGAGTATCGTAAGTATTGAACATTATTTATATTCTTATCATTGACAAAGAATATTCTTCTGTTATCTGGTCTCCTCACTGATTTAAAGTAAGCAAGTGAGTCAAGTGAATTTAAAATATCCATGTCCATCTGGTAACTTCCAGTACAGTTTATAGTTGCAGAACAAATCCCAAGAGCATCGTGTAAAGAATAATTCGATGTTTACACACCATAACCCAAACTATTTACTTATTTGCTTAGTCAAGGTGTGAGTTTGCGACTTGTGTTTGAAGTCTAGGTCTTTGGAGAGTACAAAAATATTGACCTTTGACAATATCCAGATAGATGTCAGAAACTAACCAAATTAATATGTTGGTTTTTCTTATTGTAACCTATTAAGAATTTACAATTATAAACAAAATATAAAGTGTATTGGACTCAAATACATTCTAATGAAATATTAGATCTCTAGATTTACAAGTGGTGCTGTGATATTTCAAATTCATAAAAAGAGATTGAGATTCCTGTAAACAGAGAAAACTAACGAATGTTGTGAAATTCCCATGGGTATTACAATCATAACTCCCTTTTTTAAATTGTGAAATCCATTTGGTTTCACGTACACAAACATGTTTTGAAACTTAGGAAACAAACGAATTTATTTTGTGCGAGCAAATGCCATGTAATGTATAATTGATTATTGATCAAATTAATTTATATATCAGATGATGGTTGTGCTTACTGTATCAGGGTGCAGTAATTATATTGTAATGATGTAATATTTGGCTATTGTTACCAATCTTTAGAACTTAAGTTTATTTTAATCAAGTCAATTGGTGTGATAACTTTTATAATTTTGACAATTTAATCAAGACGAGAAATAAAAATACATAGAGGAATTTTGTTCTCCTTGTCAATGACGTTGATAGCATGTACATGTATTTATGCAGAGCCACAAGTCAAAATATCAACTTTCGTTAAATACAAAATGAGATAAACATTTTGTTTGACAAAAGAAAATGCAAGTCGTATTCATATATCTTCTTTGTGATCTTCGTGACCTTACTCAGAACCATAGTGTCAGTGAGGCAGACTGACTGTAGGTGTGACAAAACGTGATATTAATGTGTAGTCTACATTTGGCCTTACCATTTGCCAAGGAGGTTGTGACAACGGTTGGATGGGAGCTATATCTTGAAGGTTCATTTTAGTAGCAGATTTGATTCTGATTCCGAGTGGTGCAACAAGAGATGATTTCTTATTGGAAATATCTTCGTAGAGATGATTGAATACGCAATCAAAAGCTGGATTTGACGGATTAGAATATAATTTGTTGAAGTATTGTAAGGATTATTTCAGACAGCATTGTTTAAGGGAAGGCTCATCCGTCTACACATACAGACTATGAATGGGAGAAGTTCGAAATGCTCCAAGGCAAAGCCTCACGCCCCTATGATGGATGGTATGTAGTTTCTGTAAATTACATTTACATGCTCCACCATAGACGATGGAGCCGCGATCAAGTTCTGAACGGATCAGTAACCTGTACAAGTGTCTGATCCCCTCACCACTTAGAAGTAGAAACTACGTTCAACAAGTACGAGTGCTTCAGACATTTAGCTTTAAAGTATTTAATATGCGGAAGGAAAGTTAAATGGTCCCAAGAATTTGGCCTCCTTTACAACAGCGATAGGGGTGTCATTCAAATCAGTCAGGGTCCTTATGTGGCATATATTTTCGGCAAAAATGTTTACATTTATGTTTTTATTTAGAAGATTTAAGCCTGTTTCAAGGGACCAATTGCGAATGTTATTGAGACTGATTTGTAAATGCCTCTCTATTGTATGCATATTTGTACCATAACAAGAAATATTAAAATCATCCATGACAAGCAGGATATTAGACTGTTGACTGTAATGCGACAGGTACCCCGTCTGTTGGGCGAACCGTATTCGATTTACCAAGATATTTCCATATAAAAATAACGTTTTCGCATATTTTATTCTTCAATGGCTGTTTAAAAAAAAAATTGTTTTTTTATTGATATTGCTTTTAGTATTTTTGAATATCTAAATATAATAAACGAACAACTGTCCCATGTTTTATAAATTCAAGACATTACTTACAATCTGAATTAATACCATGTGGATTCTCAAAAACTCAAAGTTATGCACGACTCTTTGCAATCTCAGAAATGAAGCCTTTTAAAAGATCAGGTTTGTTGACCTGGATACGTCTGATGTCTGTTTGCAGACCTATTCAAAAGAATTTTCGATGACACCCGCAACAAATTCTGGGTCGAACCATGGATGGATCCCTGTGTCAAAACCACAAGCATATCTCAAAAGAGGTGTGGTACCCGTATTAACAACTCAATTAACAATGTCAATATCGAGTGTGACCACCATTTGCGTCGATACAGACGAGGAAGCGCCTGTCCACTGACGACACCAGATGATTAATAACAGCTTTGTTGATGTTGTTTCAAACGTCAACCAACGATTGGCCCAGTTGATCTGGAGTATTGCCATAACAACGCGGCATGCTTCTATTGTGGTGGATCTCATGACAGCTCCGAGTGCACAAACACCATCCATTGTTCAAACTGCAGCAGAGAGCACATGCCATCTTCCAAATTATGTAAATGGCTTCAACTTGAAACAAACATTTTCAAAATATAAAAAAACAACATATCATGAAGAAACAGGTTAGTACCTCTGTCATCGGAAACTCCATTGAATAAATCTTATTCAGCTGCAGCTGCAGTTTCTTCTACTTGACTTACCGAAGCACATGTACAGTGTCAGACTTCGATCTTGTGGGTTTATCATCAACAGATCCTACTCGATCCCATTATCACTGTACCAGGAACATCAAAACCAGAGACTAAAACCATCCGAACCAGGAGCAGAATCTTGATAAGATCATGACACCCTAAAACAAATATAGCCAGTTGAGAGCACTGCCCAACTGTCCAACTCCTGCTCCTTACATGGGGTGGTCCTCCCTCACGTTCAAGTTCACCAGTTGAACTATCATGAGTAGCTCTTTTAATATTATCCAATGGAATTGCAGAGGACTGAGGAGTAATTTCAATGATTTGCAATTATTAATTCAGGATTATAAACCATCATCAATTAACATCCCAGAAATTCACTTCAAATACTGATCCTATTGACATCAAACAACACGATTTATACCATTTTTTTTCACCTACAGGACTAAGGACTCTTTTGGTGACACAGGGTGTTATTCACAGGCCTGTTTCTCTTGATACCCTCTTCAAGCCGTCGCTGTCCGTATTGATGTTCCTAATCCTATAAATAATTTTTGCAATACACATATGGTTCAGCATTTAATGAAAATTTGTATTTACTGTAACTATCGAATATTGTCTTAATTTTGTTTTCCACTCTTGAAACGAAATATCTCTTAATCTTAGTTTCATCATAATTATTAAATAATCAATATTACCAACTCCTTGAGAGAACCAAACTTCTCCAAGGCCTATCAAACATAAAGATTCTCTAATATTTGTTACCCAATTTCTCCTATCACATTCAGCTAAGTGTTTTGACATAGTATACAACTTTTATGGTATTCTATTATCTGACATGCATATTAATCTAAGCCAATATTTTATACATTGCACAACTAAATCAACATATCTACCACATTCTCCCACAGCCACTGCATTTGGAGTTTGTGACGGTAAACCAAGAAATCTTTTACATGCATAATTCTGAATTTTTTTTCTCAAGTGGATCAAAGGCATTGGTGCCAAAAATTTCTGCTCCGTATGATAAAATAGGCTTAATCTTTACACCAAATATGTTAAAGAATATGTCATTAGACAATCACCCGAGTTCATTTAATGATCTTTCTGGCATGTATATGTCACCGTTTTAATCATATGCATATATGCGTAAAAGATAACATAAGATTTCCTTTTAGACCTATTTATTCAAGGAATATAGTAAATATTGTGTATCTACGGAATCAAACGTTGTTTCTTTTAAATCTATGAAAGCGACGTAGAATCTATCTTTACGTGTAGACAAATGCTTGTCGATTAGATCATTCAAAACAAAAGTATTATCAGATGTAGAGTAACCATCGCAAAAGCCAGCTTGTGTTCCTCTGTTATTTTCTTAAAACTATTTGCCCAAATCGTTAATCTATTATTAATGATTGATGAATCGAGTTTGCTTAATACATTTATTAAAGTTATGCCCCTATAGTTATCGTCACCACTTTTATGCAGAGGAAGGATTATACCTATGTTCAACGAATCCGGATTTTTAAAAGGGATAATTGAATAAATCAAGGAGATAAGGAATAAAGTAACATCGTCCTGCTTTCACATATTCCCGAAAAGTTTGATCTAAACCTAGAGCTTTCCCATTTCTAAGATTGCTGATAGGTTTTACAAGTTCAGCATTGCTTATTTTCCTGTTGTAATCATCATCAAAATCCATTTAAAATGTGTTTGACATACAAATGTTAATATCACAATCAAACCCTGTATGGTCACTATGCAGTGTTGAAAAATGATTAAACCAATCCGTTATATTTTATATTACTGGAGTATGTTGATATTGATGGCTTCAAATTTGTCGTCTTTTTTAAAAGTAAATTTTCTGGATAACTTACAGTCTGTTTCCTAAATGTATCTGTCTTTTTCTCCGTGTAGCCTTATTCTTATTCCTTAACGATCTATATCTTCTAAAGTTATCATTTGTTCTTTGGCAACGTAGTTTTTCTATTCGCACGTCTCTCTTCTTTTTCTGATTTTCGGCTTATATCGTTTCGACATTTAACAGTTTTTCGGAAATAACTACTTGCTTTACTAATTACATTAATAAAAAAATCAATTGATTCTTTAACATTATGTTGTATTATAGATTTAGCATATTGTATTTGGTTAAGAGAATCGTTGGATGATATATTCACTCCTCTGCTTTATCATCACTCCATACATTTGTTTCCATATAACTGGTCGAATTCTCTTCCTTTTGTTTTCATAACTAATGATACTGGCAGATGACTAGATTCTGTCCTATTTTCAACATTACATTCATTTACATAATCATTATTTTCAATAGACGTTAAACAATAATCAACTAAAATATAAGGTAAGGGTTCGACATCTAGCACCCACCTTCCAAAAGAACTTTAATTTAGATAATGAGGAATATTATAATGAAATCATCTCCATTCATGGGCTATCTTCCGCCCTTGGTATAGCTCATGATATTGCTTCAGGATAAAAAATGTCCATGATCAACTACTCATACATTTACCGCAATCATGTTCAGAAACCCTTTGGACAATATTTCATGAAATCTGGACTTCAGAAGAATTTCCTTCTTCATGCGGTGATGCTATGCTTGTTCCTATTCCTAAACCTCGTCGTGATCATACTGATCCTTCAAAATATCGATTTTCATTGACAAACATGGAATGTATGATCAATTATCACCTAGTTTGGTACCTAGAAACCAAAGTGTAGTGTATTTGTAAGACTGCACATCATGCTCAGGTACTTGTACGACAAGCACCTAGACTGGGAGGAACATCAAGGAAGAAGACGTCTGAACTGAACGATGATTTATTCGTAACTGACAACAGGTACATAGTCATGACGTCACTCCCAATGCTGGAGCATGTGACTTATGACGTAGTAGCGCGTGCACATTGGCGCTCACAATATGTAAACAAACATAACACAGCACAAAGACATAAACAATGTGGTTTCTGTAAAAAACAGTTAATTTAGTACGTCTTCAATCTATTTTTGAAAATGCCATCATAAACAAACAACATGCAGTACCTATCTTTTTCGATCTAGAACAAGAATGGCAAACACTACATGGAAACATAGTATGTTAAAACATTGCGAGGTCGTTTGCCTTAATTCATATCCCAATTTTTATCACACAGACAATTTCAAGTTCGTGTAGGTTCAATCTTGTCTGATCATAATGATCAGGATGTCCTACATGAAATTATTATCACATTGTTCAGTATTAAAATAAATAGCCTACATAAGGTTTTATATGTTCCAATTGATGGATCTCTTTACGTGGATGATTTTAACATTTTATGTCGTGGTATAAATATAAATACCGTCGAAAGGCAACGACAAATGTGTCTAAATGTTATAAGTCGATTACCAAATTGATACAATATGTTAACCAGGAAATCTGTACGTAAAAGAACTTAATGTGAAGCCAACAAATGTATTACGAATTCACTCGTACACAGTACACAAAAGAGTAGTGGCACAATATTCAATATTCAATGGTCGTCAGTATAAAAGATGAATATACTGGTGATAGCAAAATAATGATACATTCACCCAGTGGCGACAGTGGTCAAGCTTCCGAGATGGCCTAGACAGAGAATCCAGGGTGATGAGTGATCTTCACACGAAAGCTGGTCTTGATGTAATGAAATGTGTGAGAGATACGAAAGGCACGCTTTTGTCAATTTCAATAATTCGAACAAGCTTCTGGAAATGTCTACACGGTGCCATCACATCACAGAATATTCCGCATTTTTATATAACACTCTATCTCAGTCCGCGGTGTTCCGGAAGTGTACACATCACACTAGCATCTCAATATAGGAACTTCCTCAAAACTGCTTACATTCCTGAAAACTAATCACTGTCCAAATGCAATGCAATGAGCTTCTATTGAATCTTAACAGAAACAATGTTATACAGTTACAATAATTGTTTAACAATAAAATACACTGCCACATGTCACTAAATAAAAATCATTAGATTTTTATATTTTCAAACTCAAAAACGAATTTTATCCACTATTGTAGAAATACAAACTTCATAAAGGCCAGGGACTTGTTGTTTCAGGCAATCGTATTAAAGTTGTAAAGGAGGCCAAATTCCTGGGTATCATTATCGATATCCATTTTACCTCCTTACCACACATAGGGAAAGTATTTGAAAAATGAATCCCTGAAAACCCTCTACTTGTTGAAGGTTGTGGGAAGTTGATAAGAGGGGATGAGAAACCCCTGCTCCATTTGTATTCACTGTAAACTTGATTATTGCTCCATCGTCTATGGTCGAGTCTGAAAAGTAATTTATAATTATTGGATACCATTCAGTCTTTGCCTTTGTGTCTTCAGAACTTCAGAACCCATTAATAGTCTGTACTTGGAGGCTGATGAGCCATCGCTAAGGCAACGTCATATAAAAGTATTCTTACAATACATCACAAAACATTTATTTACAAATCATTCAAATCCGACTAATGGCTGCATATTTAATCCTCTGTATGAGGATCTGTATTATTAGCAGTAATCCCTTATTCCGCCCCTTGGCATAAGAATAAAAATTATGAAATTTGTGCTGCAAAGATTGACCTCAGTAACATAACTCCCACCCAAATTCTGTGGCAACTGGTAAAGCCACAGGTAGATCGTGATTCAACAAAACTAATGCAATAAAAAACTAATCAACTAATGTATCATCATAATCAGTTACGCACTACCTAGAATACTTACAGATCTATGGTTACAGATAGATCCAAGGATGGTGATGCGGTTGCTAGCACCACTGTCATTGGATCAAGAACAATATTTTCAAAATGACAAAATAACAGTTTAATTTTTATGGGAGAATCACACGCAAATTTAACAACTCTAACATTTGTAAATACTAAATCTAAACATAAACAGTTCATGATATTTTCTGATTCTCTTTCCTGTCTTCAGGCTATTCATACTATTTTTCCGATCAACATCAACTTTTACGTGGAATTATAGAATTATACAATGATCTTGCAACTAGTCATTACAACGTCGTCTTTTCTTGGCTCCCCATCCATGTTAAAACGATGACTGCTTCTGCTGCTAAAGCAGCGCTCAACAAATCTGTGACACCACTTCTCATTCTTTATAGTAATAATATAAACCTGTAATTAGATGTTAAATTAGAGATCTAATGCAAACGAAGTTCGACACCCAAGTAATTATTAACAACCTGCACGAAGTTAAACCAATATTTGGGTGGTGGTGGTGATGGTGGGTTTGTTGTTTAACGCCGCACTCAGCAATATTCCAGCTGTATGACGGCGGTCTGTAAATAATCGAGTCTGGACCAGACAATCCAGTGATTGATATCACGAGCATCGATCCACTCAATTGGGATCGATGACATGCATCAACCAAGTCAGCGAGCCTGACCACCCGATCCCGTTAGTCGCCTTTTACAACAAGCATAGTCACCTTTTACGGCAAGCATGGGTTGCTGAAGATCTATTCTACCCCCGAATCTTCACGGGTCCAATATTTGGGAGTTAGCGTGATTGCAGAGTCACAGTCAAGCATGTCCTGCTTCATTGTGTAGATTTTTCCGTCACAAGGGATACATATTTCAGCGGAACATCACTAATGGCTTTTTCATAATGTTCTGTCTCATTTGATAATTAGTTGTTTAAAAGAATTTGAACTGAAATTAAACTCGCTGATAATCGTTTGCAGATGGAGAGATGGTGTAAATCCTGCTGGGGAACTGTGCAGATAGCAGAATGCTGATATTTTAGTTCCATACTAGTTTTAAAATATAAATCTGTGATAATCTAGTTGTTTTACTGTCCTTTGTCGACAGGTTTTGTAGCCTAAATTCATGTATTATCAATGGTCTCGATATGGCTGAAATATTGCCGATGTGACGTTTAATTATATGTCGCTCACTCACTGTTACAACATGCAGTGTACATGCAAACGTGATGTTACGTCCTTGCATTTACACAATGGGTAGAAGATTATTTATCTCTAAAAATTACATCCCGATAGCACACGCTGTTCAAACTGCTATTAACAATGATGAGTTGTGTTCTCCCAAACTGACGAGATTGCGTAACGCAAGCATCGCTAAAACGTTCTCCCTGAAACCAGCAGACCCTTGCACGACCGTCAGAGCCAGACTCATCTGTAAAGATTATACTGTCACAGTGCTGTCCTCAGGTGCTGTCTTCTCCAAGCTAGAGGTGCCTGACGGTGACATATAAGAAACATTTTGCGTATCGCAGGACGGGGCCTGATGTTTTTTCTGCCACTGTTTGAAACCAGGAATTGTCCGAATTGTTAAAAGAACAGTTTGGAATCGATTCCGTAGACGCACCAACCGAATATGGTGGTTTTGTTGTCTTGACGTCACACGTGGAGAACCGTCCCGTGGCAAGTCATGAGACTCAACATTATTTTTGTACCTTCCAGTATTTCTGCAATAAATACTTGAATTTCAAACTGCTGAACCAAAATACTGCCACATATTACACACACACACACACACACACACACACACACACACACACACACACACACACACACACACACACTTTACTGATGTTTTACTAAAGGGTTCTTGAAAATTCCAATACAAAAGACATTTAAGTGGAGGCATACATTCAGCCATCAAGCGGCAATTGTTTCGACTAAAGAACAACCTACCACACCATTTATCGTGTAAATGCGAGTAACGGTTCAATTACTTGAGTACCGATGTTAAAAATATTGTCTGCATCGTTACTTTTTTGAAGCAATGTTTGTGACGAGTGGGATGTTATAAATAGAAGATTGCATGTGTATCGATTCTTAAGCTTTGTCCAAGGTTGCTCAGATCAAACACCACACCCAGTTGACGAGGCAGACGCCAACAGTTGAGGAGGAAAACGCCAACAGTTGAGGAGGAAGACGCCAACAGTTGAGGAGGAAAAGAGAAAGGGTGCGTCAGTAATGATGGATTCAATTTCACAGATCAGATTTCAACCTGGCTCACAAGTGCCCGTGTTTTTGGTATTACTTGTTGTCGGCTCCTATTCGAGTGAATTTCAAGGGGAACTTTTCACAGCAATGCCCGGGTGTTCTGAAGATGTCATTCTTCCGTTGACTCCTGTCAACTCTGATTTTGTGTCATCTCGGGGTCAGTGTTTGGCAAACTGTCTTGGAGATTCCACATGCATGTCTGTCAACCTCTGTGAAGATCCTCAGAGTGGACAGGTGTGTCACAGACTACCTGAGACGTCAAACGGGTCGTGTTCCGATCTTCAGTCGGCCGTTGGGTGTGTTTTTCTGGAGCCGGTGAGTAACTGAGTGGGATATTTCAACCATTGACATAATGCCTAATGGGAAACGTTTATTTGTAAATAGTCTCATTCGTGAATAATTATCAATAGCGTAGCCTTTTATTTGAAACACACACATGCGAAAGTAAAACGAGAACACAGCTGGAGAAGAATCGACAAAACCAGAAGGTAAAGTGAGCAGGCAGATAAGAATAAAGTAGGAACACGGGTGAAGTTAAAGTGAAAACAGAGGTGAAGGTAAAGTAAGAATACAGGTAATGGTAAAGTTAGAAAACTGGAAAGGATAGTGAAGGTTGTGAAGAAGATACCACACCTATGTATCGGTAGGTGTGTGCCGAAAAGGCGTAGTTGATCTCATGGATTATTGCATCGACCTGTTTCACCTCATGTAACTCAATAAAGCAGCTGTTATTGAGTGATCAAATGGCAGCGTGGATGTTCACACAGGGGCCAGTCGCCTTAGGCAACACAATTTGTTTGCACATTTGCGTCTCTTAGGCGTGACAGAAATCTATTGTCATTGTTCCGCATTCCGGTTCACCCGAATTATGTTTCTTGGCTTGTTAGAACAATGCCCTTGATCGTGGGTTTCGCAGAATGGTAAACGTCTAATACATGCATCACTTTGGGCTTTCCCGATATGGCTGAACGACTGTGTGGGGCTTCAAACCCAACTCACACAGTAATATGGACAGACAAACAGACAGACAGGCAGTATATTCAGTATATAGACCTGAATACATCCATATACAGAACAATATTTTCCTATTAAGATACTATGATTAATAGATACAATTAAACAGATACAGGTATAAGCACTGCAAACATATCAGCAACTGTTTATATTTATCTGTAATTTCAGGAGATATACGCTCGGTTTTTTCCTGCAATATATCAATCACATAGTTTGGGTTTATTTTATATTCAGTTTCCTTTGATGAGTGGCTGTGAATACTGGATGATACCATGACATCTACACAGGAATTGATTTCACATTTTGCTTGTCTATGCATTATATACTGTTAGTTATAGTGTCTTTAGCTGCCATACACTGTGTCATATTAAGCTAACGCCTCGCCCAATATTTTGCTTCGAACCTAATGCGACTAATGACATCACAACGAATTTATTATGACGAAAAGTTTGACTATCTGGGGTCTTTATCATAAAATATGTCCGCATGTTATCAGAAAACGACGGGCTGCTGTCTGTTCTATTGGTATGTGATGTCATTGGTGTCACGTTCATTGTTTGTGACGCCTTCCTAAATTATGTTCTTTAAAGTTGCTATTTGTAAATCAGTGCCCTCCGTTGTGAGGTATTTTATACAGCCGCCAAACGTATGCTGCTGTTTGTTGTTTTGTTCTTTTGTGGATTAACAACAAATTCTATCCACTTTAGCTCTAATAACGGTAACGTTATTTTCAGGGCATTATCATTTGTAGAAGCCCTGGGTCTGTTTACCAAACTACTCTATAGTTTTGATGAAAAAAAGTCACGAACGTGATTTCTTTAGAAATTATTGTTCTTGTGCAACACTGTTAAATATATAAAAACACAAGACAGTATTGAATAACGAATGTTTGTACCAGAATATTCCTGTGAAATATGTGAGGTGAATGTTTGAAAATCCAAGATGGCTGTCACTGCCGATAATCTCACATTATGTCGGAAACAACCATCTGGGATTATTACTGACGGTATTCACAGCAGGTGATAAGTTCTGCGCTATATAATAATACTTTACATATTTCTATTATAGGAAAATATTCTACAGCCATACATTTGCATTGTTTTAGAAAAAGGAATACATCTCAAAATTTTAGCAAAATCATGGCGAGGACACCAGAAAAGTGGCTTTACACATAGTACTCATACACATGATAAGATATCCCAGTATTGAAGTATACATATCATTACTTTGGTTATTCCCAACTGGTTTGGTTTCAGGTGAATGTGTGCCAGCACGGTGGAAGGTTCAATGACTCCATGTCTAAGTGTGACTGTTACGATGACTTCACAGGAACCTACTGTGAGAGGCGATACACAGGTGAGTCAAGATGCCTGGGCCTAGATTTTCGAAACGATCGTAGCCCTAAAACTATCGTAAAGTTATCGCAAGGAAATCGTAGGCCATCGTAGCCTATTTTCGAAACTATCGTAGCCCTAAGATATCTTCAGTGTGTCGTAAATCTAAGCCCCATACCTGTCGTAAGTTTATTTTATCTTCATCGAAGATGTCGGCATACTTTGCCATAAATATTTGGCCAAACAATTAGTCTGCTTTACGTTCAAACATTGACATTTCATTTTGTTAAACTGTGTGATTCAAATTGACATTTCGAAAACACAAAGAACGCAACAATGATTTCACGTCAGAAATGTTTACACTGAAGAAGTGTGAAACAACATATCTTGTCGAAAATTTAGGAAGGAAAAAAACGGAAGGTGTCGCAGGCTATAGTAATGACCGTGATCTTATTGATAACTCAGGGGCAGCTAATCTTAGTTCATACTCTAGTTGAGAGTGGTTTCCCTTTGTATTCGCCCGGCGAGGCTTTGCTCAATGTAATAGTTTTCATTCCCCTGTTATATTTTCTTGATCGCATTTGCGTCAATGCTTTAGTTTTTATTTTCACATTTTATAAAATTATATCAATCTACAAGGGTTTCGCATCAGTTTTTACATCTAAAATCTTGTGGGACGAGCGGTTTAACAATTGAATTTTAACTATACAGTGTTGTATTTATTGACTTAACAAGGAAATACATGTGATCAAATATTTGTATAGTATATTTGATATTTTTCAAGCAAAAGTAATTGTATTTTGTTTCGTTTTAAATACAATACCAAGGTTATCTATTCTATTGAAAGACAAATATTTAAAACTGTCTGTTGAACAATTGCATTAATTGGAAACAGGTGATTAACGGCATATAGATGTTTTCCATTAAATATGACATTTTTTTGAAATTTTGACAGCAAAAGTTAAGCACAGATTTGCGCATCAAATAAAAATCAAATAAGAAATGGGTTCAAATGCTCGTTCGGGTTTAGAGTGTCCATGTCCAAAATTGACTTTCCAATATATGTTTGCAGAAAACGTTTATTGAATGAAATTTACTGATCAATATAAAATAGACATTTTTAACACGATAATTTTGCATTCAATAAACCGATTTTGAAATAATTGATTTTGGTATTTTTAATTATTAAGTGTACATCTACCCGTTTTATGATGGAAAAATATGGACACTTGAGACCATTCAGACAATAAAATCGTTGTAAAGTATAGGATCAACGGACAAATACCAATAAATGATCCTTAGTAATACTCTCAGACAAGCCAAACATCATCGAACTACGTTCTGGAATAGATTTGACACATTTACAATGTATTTCGCTCCTCAGACAGATTTAAATGAAATCAGACAAATCAGTCTATTAGCTCTACATAATTTAAAAGGACAAAGAAGGACTACAATATATGCATGTCCACGTTAACTTGTGTCGTGTTCCATGAGAGAACATAACTTGACAATTCCTAAATTATCTCTCTTCGGGTGTTCGGGTAGTCATGGCATCTCTTATCATAAGAACAAAACGTCTACATGTAGGACATATGTAGCATTGTACGGAATTTCACTCAAATAGTTGTTGCGTGTTAAACAATGTGACCTGACAATGTGATTGATCATGAATTCCGTGTCACTTCTTAATGTTATTGTCAGCTGCTGGGCAATCCCCGTGGCGTCATTGGGAAACACCTCGTTTTTTCAGTCTCTTAGACAAATGAGTTCTCTGTCAGAGTTACGACAACTATCGTATCTTTGTGCGATCTGCGACAGGTTTACGATAGTTTCGAAAATGTATCTTATCTTAAACTTAAGATATCTTATCTTTGAACGAAAGCTGTAGCTAAGATCGTTTCGAAATCTAGACCCTGGTTCCGAGGAATCGAAAGTAATATACTCAAAACGGCGGTCTGGTATCTTCGGGGCTTTAGAGTTTCCATATTATGTTACAAAAACACCCCATTGGGACCCGGTGTAGAATGTATCCAAAGCACCCAATGGGTGGTCGTGCAAGGCGACCGAATTGGGCAACCTGTATACCGTGGTTTGGGTCCCTGTGTCAGCAGAGGACGGGAGTCTGGTGGTTGAGGGCACTAGATCCATGAGCAGCGTCCCTGTGTCAGCGGAGGACGGGAGTCTGGTGGTTGAGGGCACTAGATCCATGAGTTGCGTTCCTGTGTCAGCGGAGGACGGGAGTCTGGTGGTTTAGGGCACTAGATCCATGAGTAGCGTCCCTGTGTCGGCGGAGGACGGGAGTCTGGTAGTTGAGGGCACTAGATCCATGAGTAGCGTCCCTGTGTCAGCGGAGGACGGGAGTCAGGTGGTTGAGGGCACTAGATCCATGAGTTGCGTTCCTGTGTCAGCGGAGGCAAGGAGTCAGGTGGTTGAGGGCACTAGATCCATGAGCAGCGTCCCTGTGTCAGCGGAGGACGGGAGTCTTGTGGTTGAGGGCACTAGATCCATGAGTTGCGTTCCTGTCAGCGGAGGACGGGAGTCTGGTGGTTGAGGGCACTAGATCCATGAGCAGCGTCCCTGTGTCAGCGGAGGACGGGAGTCTGGTGGTTGAGGGCACTAGAACCATGAGTTGCGTTCCTGTCAGCGGAGGCAAGGAGTCTGGTGGTTGAGGGCACTAGATCCATGAGCAGCGTCCCTGTGTCAGCGGAGGACGGGAGTCAGGTGGTTGAGGGCACTAGATCCATGAGTTGCGTTCCTGTGTCAGCGGAGGCAAGGAGTCAGGTGGTTGAGGGCACAAGATCCATGAGCAGCGTCCCTGTGTCAGCGGAGGACGGGAGTCTGGTGGTTGAGGGCACTAGATCCATGAGTTGCGTTCCTGTCAGCGGAGGCAAGGAGTCTGGTGGTTGAGGGCACTAGATCCATGAGCAGCGTCCCTGTGTCAGCAGAGGCAAGGAGTCAGGTGGTTGAGGGCACTAGATCCATGAGCAGCGTCCCTGTGTCAGCGGAGGTCGGGAGTCTGGTGGTTTAGGGCACTAGATCCATGAGTTGCGTTCCTGTCAGCGGAGGCAAGGAGTCTGATGGTTGAGGGCACTAGATCCATGAGTTGCGTTCCTGTGTCAGCGGAGGACGGGAGTCTGGTGGTTTAGGGCACTAGATCCATGAGTTGCGTCCCTGTGTCGGCGGAGGACGGGAGTCTGGTAGTTGAGGGCACTAGATCCATGAGTTGCGTTCCTGTCAGCGGAGGCAAGGAGTCTGATGGTTGAGGGCACTAGATCCATGAGTTGCGTTCCTGTGTCAGCGGAGGACGGGAGTCTGGTGGTTTAGGGCACTAGATCCATGAGTTGCGTCCCTGTGTCGGCGGAGGACGGGAGTCTGGTAGTTGAGGGCACTAGATCCATGAGTAGCGTCCCTGTGTCAGCGGAGGACGGGAGTCAGGTGGTTGAGGGCACTAGATCCATGAGTTGTGTTCCTGTGTCAGCGGAGGACGGGAGTATGGTGGTTGAGGGCACTAGATCCATGAGCAGCGTCCCTGTGTCAGCGGAGGACGGGAGTCTTGTGGTTGAGGGCACTAGATCCATGAGTTGCGTTCCTGTGTCAGCGGAGGCAAGGAGTCAGGTGGTTGAGGGCACTAGATCCATGAGCAGCGTCCCTGTGTCAGCGGAGGACGGGAGTCTTGTGGTTGAGGGCACTAGATCCATGAGTTGCGTTCCTGTCAGCGGAGGACGGGAGTCTGGTGGTTGAGGGCACTAGATCCATGAGCAGCGTCCCTGTGTCAGCGGAGGACGGGAGTCTGGTGGTTGAGGGCACTAGAACCATGAGTTGCGTTCCTGTCAGCGGAGGCAAGGAGTCTGGTGGTTGAGGGCACTAGATCCATGAGCAGCGTCCCTGTGTCAGCGGAGGACGGGAGTCAGGTGGTTGAGGGCACTAGATCCATGAGTTGCGTTCCTGTGTCAGCGGAGGCAAGGAGTCAGGTGGTTGAGGGCACTAGATCCATGAGCAGCGTCCCTGTGTCAGCGGAGGACGGGAGTCTGGTGGTTGAGGGCACTAGATCCATGAGTTGCGTTCCTGTCAGCGGAGGCAAGGAGTCAGGTGGTTGAGGGCACTAGATCCATGAGCAGCGTCCCTGTGTCAGCAGAGGCAAGGAGTCAGGTGGTTGAGGGCACTAGATCCATGAGCAGCGTCCCTGTGTCAGCGGAGGTCGGGAGTCTGGTGGTTTAGGGCACTAGATCCATGAGTTGCGTTCCTGTCAGCGGAGGCAAGGAGTCTGATGGTTGAGGGCACTAGATCCATGAGTTGCGTTCCTGTGTCAGCGGAGGACGGGAGTCTGGTGGTTTAGGGCACTAGATCCATGAGTTGCGTCCCTGTGTCGGCGGAGGACGGGAGTCTGGTAGTTGAGGGCACTAGATCCATGAGTTGCGTTCCTGTCAGCGGAGGCAAGGAGTCTGGTGGTTGAGGGCACTAGATCCATGAGCAGCGTCCCTGTGTCAGCGGAGGACGGGAGTCTGGTGGTTGAGAACACTATATCCATGAGTTGCGTCCCTGTGTCAGCGGAGGACGGGAGTCTGGTAGTTGAGGGCACTAGATCCATGAGTTGCGTTCCTGTCAGCGGAGGACGGGAGTCTGGTGGTTGAGGGCACTAGATCCATGAGCAGCGTCCCTGTGTCAGCGGAGGACGGGAGTCTGGTGGTTGAGGGCACTAGATCCATGAGTTGCGTTCCTGTCAGTGGAGGCAAGGAGTCTGGTGGTTGAGGGCACTAGATCCATGAGTAGCGTCCCTGTGTCAGCGGAGGCAAGGAGTCAGGTGGTTGAGGGCACTAGATCCATGAGTTGCGTTCCTGTGTCAGCGGAGGACGGGAGTCTGGTGGTTTAGGGCACTAGATCCATGAGTAGCGTCCCTGTGTCGGCGGAGGACGGGAGTCTGGTAGTTGAGGGCACTAGATCCATGAGTAGCGTCCCTGTGTCAGCGGAGGACGGGAGTATGGTGGTTGAGGGCACTAGATCCATGAGCAGCGTCCCTGTGTCGGCGGAGGACGGGAGTCTGGTGGTTGAGAACACTATATCCATGAGTAGCGTTCCTTTGCCCAATACACCACTTCGACCCTTACCTCGCCAAGACGGCTGGTAGGATGGGCCCGGTCCTATCAATCGGCTCGTCATGTTAAGCCCTTTGCATTATTTGTACTTGCACAAAATTTGAATTCAAAGTTTACTTATACTTTAGGTCTTCGCCAAAATGTTTATATAAAAAACTAAATGTTTGATTGTGAAGTCGTATGCCCTGAAGGCGGCGGCTCATGGGTCAATCTGGTTGGCTTAAGTTTTACTTACTTCGTCTGCGACCATTCCAGTATCCAGCAAGATGGAGATCCACAGACATATAGCATTGTACCTGTGAAATCCGTTGTGGGTGGGGACCTGGGATGATGGTGATCCATTTACAACTTCAAAATGGAACACCCCCCCCCCCCCCCCCCCCCACCCCCCCACCCCCCCCCCACCCCACCCCCCACCCCTCAATAAAAAAACCCGCACATTAGAAGATTACTCAGATGAGGAGACTTCCATACTGAAGACTTCTTCTACTATTTGGGCATATCAAATTTTCCACCGATAATTCGGAAGATTATAATGAACCATTTTCTCTTGATGAGCTCTCTGCAGCTCTTAATAAATTCCATGATACTGCAACTGGACCTGATGAAACTCATTACCAATTGTTGAAGCATCTCACTCATAAATCGTTGTTACTGCTTCTTAGTATATTTAATAACATATGGAAACGAGATACATTTCCAGATTCCTGGCATAAAGCAATCATCATTCCTATTCCTAAGCCAGGCAAAGATAATACCAATTTAACAAATTACCGTCAAATTGCCTTGACTGGCTGTGTTTGTAAAACATTAGAAAGAATGATTAACAATAGACTTGTTTGGCATCTTGAACTTAATAACTTAATAACAGATATCCAATGTGGATTCAGACGTCATAGGAGTACAGTTGATCATCTTATTCGACTTGAGTCATTTGTTCGTAATGCCTTCGTAAATAAACAACATGCATTTTCTATATTCTTTGATTTAGAAAAGGCATATGACACCACTTGGAAATATGGTGTATTGAATGACCTCTGTAATATGGGATTCCGTGGGCGCATGCCTGCTTATATTTCTCAGTTCCTTGACAATAGACAATTCCATGTTCGTGTGGGATCGACTCTGTCAGATATATTTAATAAAGAAATCGGCGTGCCACAAGGAAGTATTCTACCAGTTACCTTGTTTAGCATTCAGATCAACAGTCTCGCCAAGTGTTAATGAACACACTGATGGTTCCTTGTTTGTTGACGACTTTAATGTGTCTTGTCGCGGAACTAACATGCATACTGTTGAGAGACAGCTGCACATGTGCCTCAACAGAATTCATAAGTAGACTTAGGAGAACGGTTTTAAGTTTTCACGGAACAAGACATGTTGTCTCCATTTCTGCAATAAGAGGAAAATACATAATGATCCTGACTTGTTCTTGAATACTACACCGATCAAAGTATTTAAAGATGCAAAATTTTTAGGTATTACATTTGGTAGCAAACTGTTGTTTATTCCCCATATTAAAAATCTGAAGACCAAATGTCTAAAGGCACTTGATATTATTAAAGCTGTGTCAAATGCTCATTGGGGTGGGGATAAAGACACACTTCTGCATCTCTACAGAGCACTAGTTAGATCTAAGCTGGACTATTCATGTTTAATTCATGGTTCAGCCCGTAGATCTTATTTACGGGAACTAGATAGTATTCACCATCAGGGATTGAGGTTGAGCTTAGATGCATTCAGAACATCTCCTATCGAAAGTCTGTGTGCCAAAGTACCTTGTCTCAAATTAAGAGGGATAAGCTTGCTCTTCAATATATCACTAAACTCAAATCGAATATTCTAATCCAGCCTTTGATAGAGTTTTAAAACCTCTATATGTGGGATTGTATCTCAAAAAGGGTAATAATAATAATAATAAGTGATAATTAGTGCAAACAGGCCAGGAAGTGCAGGAAAAAAAACCAAGAAACATTTTCCCCGAAATCCAACTGTCTATAACGTGAATCATGTTAAAGTCACAAATACCAAAGCAAGCTGCATCTTCGAACAAAATAAGCTCAAGTACTGGTGGTATAATGTTTCAAAAATAAATTCTCGCACACCAAATGCCCAAGGCGTGGAACATGATTGCAAAAATTGAAGGCAAAGGATCAAAATCGAGTGTCCACAATCTCAAGGTAGCTGACCATCTTGTGACAGATAAATTGGACATTGCAAATATTTTGGGTGAAACGTTGGCAAAACACTCTTCCTCGCGTAACTATGTTCGTAAGTTTCAAATATATCAGAAACAGGAAAAGAAGAGGATTGATTTTACTTCTCAAAATTGAGAAGATTATTATGAGGTAGTTGCGCTCCATGAGCCAAATACTGCCCTTGGTCAAGCGCACGATACTGCAACGGGAGCTGATTATATTCACTATACACTCCTGAAGCATTTGCCTGATACATGTTTAGAGATACTTGTAGATACATATTTGTTACGATCTGGACATCAATGAATTTTCCTCCTTCATGGAGCGATTCGCTGTGCAGAGTTGCGTCCCTTGGGCACGCCAGAAACCTATGATTGTGGGTTCGAATCCCGGTTGGCCCCGATTATGTTTCTAGGTTTGTCAGCACCCTACCCGTGCTCGTGGGTTTCACCGAAGTGGTAAACGTCTGAGACCTGCATCACTTCGGGCTTTCCTCCCACATTAAGCTGACACGCCGCGATATAACTCACTCACTCACTCACTCCTTCATGGAGTAATGAAATAGTTGTTCCTGTTCCTCATCCTGGTTGGGACGACACAGATGCATCCAATTATCGACCAGTATCACTAACCAACTGTTAACAAGACAATGGAGCGAATGGTAAATACAGTAATCGACTTGTGTGGTACTTGGACACTAACAATCTCATTAGTAACATTCAATGTGATTTCTAAAATATAATACCATTGACCATTTGGTACATTTAGAATCTTTTGCTAAAAAACTATTGTAAACAAGAGTTTGCCACTAACGTGGCTATATCCCCCGCCCCTGTTGCAGAATTTATGACATAATAAAATCTAAACAAACCCTAACCTTTTTTAACCGAGGTGGAACTTGTCATGGAAATTGTAAAAAAAAGAAGAGTTTGGAACCTAAGTCCATCTTGCTGCCATGGAAATGTAAAAAAATCAAAATTCCTGACAAACCTGCAAAGTTTCATGAAAAAATATTAAACGGTTTATGAGTTATCATGGTTATGCTCCGGAAACGAACCCTACCCTCACAGAACCTAAGTCCATCTTTTTGCCATGGAAACGTTAAAAATATAATTTTCTAAAGTTTCTAAATAGCAAAAGGCACCAGTTCAGCATGCACCTGACAGATCTGCAAAGTTTGATGAAAAAATATTGAACGGTTTATGAGTTATGCTCCGGAAACGAGCCCGTTTCTATATCCCCCGCCAACTTTGTTGGGCGGGGGATAATAAACAGCATGCAGTATAAATCTTTATTGATTTAGAAAAGGCGTATTACACCACATGAAAGCATGGTTTTTAAAAAGATGTACATGATTTGGGGTTAAGATTCCGTTTCCCACAAGTTATGTCACATTTCAGGTTCGTTTGGGTTCTACCCTGTCTGACCATTGCAATCAGGATCAGGGAGTCCCACAAGGCAGCATTTTTTCTGCACTCTGCTTAGTATAAAGATTTATAGTCTTTCAAAGGTTTTAAATGATTCAATTAATAGATCCCTTTTTGTGGATGATTTTAATATTTCATGTTGTAGCAGAAAATCTAGGCTGGTTATTCTCTTGCAATGACAATTCATATTAGATTTTTCATCAGAGATCTTACACAAAGCAAGTGGGACACTCAAGTAGGTATTAATACATTACATGCAATAAAACCAACGCCCGGTTTCACCTACTTGGATCGTGAGTCAACATTTGAAAAGGTCATGCGATGATGTCATGTTGGCCATTGCAGATATACTCATATCTATTGAAAGGTGAGGATCCTCCATTCTGTGTCCCTTGTGATGAAAGAATCACGGTCAAGCATGTCCTGCTTGACTGCATTGATTTTTCCGTCAGAAGGGATAACTATTCCCAGGTTTCATCCGCAAAGGATCCGTTTAATGTAAGTTCTCGTTTGATTCTTGTTTTTTAATAGAACAAGGAGTTAATTGATCAATTTTGATAATATGCATTGTAATAAGTGATTGATTTTAATTTGGTTGAATGAAGTAATTACTGAGATATTTTTGTGGCTGTACCTTCAAAGAGGGCTAATGTAACGTGACATCCCATTCATTCAAAGAAGTTTTCATCTTTCCATTGCTTTTATCATAGAATACTTGTAGGTTTTACATATTTTGGCTTAACTTCCTAACTAATCACAAGTGACCAGAGGCACGGTGGACATCATGCCGGAAGCAGATGTACCGTAAGTCCCCAAGGTTCCTGGTATGGTGGCCCAACTTTGGTTGCTGGTGATCTATAGCCAATTTTGTATAATGAATCGTTTTGAATAATACAATTTTTATGGTTGCATACTCGTTTTAAATCTGTTTCTGTGATAATGTTGTGCCCTTACTGTCATTTGTCGACAGGTTTTATTGTCTACATTTATGTATTATTAACGAATCATCCTTGTAGTATTTGATTAGCAGGATTTACTTAATGCTCTTGCAGACTGTTCGGAAGCTTATGCTGGAGGGTTGAGAGGAGCAGGGAATTCCTATCGTAACATCCCCATCCGGCCACTCCTGGCTCCCCGAGAATATCAGGTGGAATGTTATCTTGCCATCAACGGATGGATGAAGGTTGGGAGCAGAGGAACTAACTGTCAGGAAGACTACAACAAAACCTGGTCTGAGTACAAGAATGGTTGGGGCACATCGTGTTCTGTTTGGCTAGGACTTGAAGCTATTCACTACATTACCAAACAGGCGACCTGCCAACTGTATGTAAAGTTAAATAACAATCTAGTGTTTTACTACCGGAGCTTCAGGCTTGAAGATGAAGCAAATAGTTACACGCTCACCTACACCACTACGTATTCTCATGCCACGAAACGCTCAGGGAATGGGTTTGAGTATGGAGAACCCAACAAGAGCATTAAAGGTGAGAGGTTCGCCACGTGGGATCACCCCGACTCCTCGGGATGCGCTTTAAGTGATGGGGCAGGGTGGTGGTACGGGACTGTCTGCCCCGATACCAATCTCCACAAGAACTCCACTACGAGCGTAGTGCAATGGCCGGACGATGGTGATGTCTTACACACAGTGATGTACCACAAATTATGGATACAAGTTTCCTGGCCATAGCAGTGACAAGCTTCATATTTCAACAGCAGGCTGCAGGAAACTGTATGACTCGTATTCCTGTTCTAGTTGTAGATTTTCGGGTCTATGGAAAGTCACTTTTTAAAACATGTTAAATAGTCTTACAAAGAAATTCATATGAGATTTCATTGTTTTCTAAACAGCAACAAACAAGTGCCTGATCCCACATTCAGCGCGTATGCATATTGAAATCTCAGCTAGAGGCCATGCTGTAACTGTGACGTCACAGTGAAAGACGTCCGACATTTTATTTCGTTTTCAGTGCATTAATCTACATGAAGTGATTTTCCATTATTCCTGGTGTATTGAGGACTCAAAATTGGGGTTTGTTTAGGCAGGAGGGGATGGGGGTGTGTGTACTATTTTCTGTTCATGGTCTTGCAGACCCTTGTCTGATTTAATTCACAAAACATTCAGGATTCACTCATTTGCTCACCCCAGAAACTAGTATACTACTCAACACAAATCTCAAAAGCATTGAGAAAAGATTGCGATTTGAATTACAATTATTGAAAAATATCGAAAAAAAGTAAATATGTAAAGGAAACTTTTGCGTTCACCATTAATCTTATAAATATTGAATATGCGTACCAAATACGATTTTATATTTTACGAGTCCCGCGTACCACATCGCTGAGGTTTCGAATACTCTCTAAATAGACCCCCGAATGCCGCATACGCAAAGAGGGTTGGTAGCCTCATTTTGGGGAAGTCTTTATTAAACTAGACCTGAAGTGGAGAATCTTCTGTATCCACAGTTTCTGAAGCCCTGAAATTATTTGAGTTCAAACAAAAATATGGAACTCGTTTATACTCACCACCACGTATATTATTGTGTTTTTGTATGAATGATTGATTGTTTGTTGTTTAACGAACTGGGGTCTGGACCAGACAATCCAGTGATTGACATCAACTGCATCGATCCACTCAATTGGGATACGATAGCATGCATCAACAAAGTCAGCGAGCCTCTTACGACAAGCATAGTCGGCTTTTACGGTAAGCATTTTTGTCTGAAAACAGGATAGATGATATAAATAAAGTTATCAATCCCCATGTCAGAATAATGAGATCTGATAGGCCCACGTGATAAAATACAATATATCCCGCCACGAGCAAGTCAGGGTGCACGTGGATTTCTGGAATCCCTAATATCCTGCTTCGTAGGGAATAATCCGTCACACCTTTTCCTAGTCAATGGAAGTCACGTGACAGAGCCTCGACTCAATCGAACAGCAGTTCTCTATTAATTTTGAATTTATTTATTATTCTTTTACAATGTCATAATGTCGGTACGATACGGTGAAGCAGGATCACTCGGGTTTTATGCGTCCCTCATTAGGTTTTACGCCACTCGACACTGGCTCGACTTACGCAGGACTTAGTCATGTAAAATAATAATAAAAAATATCAAGTACATGTAACTGCCTCGAGAATGATTTTACGATAAATGTAAAAAAAAAATATTTGTGAGTCACTTTTATTGGATAGATGCTTTTTGTCGAATGTTAATAATAAGTTTTTCTCAAACGAACCCTCGGTAGGGAGGGAAGTTTTTATTGGTTGTGGATTTCAAAAGGAGGTCGGTTGGGAGATGGCGGTGGTTTTATCCCCTGAATCCCGCCTCTGGATCCATTATCGACGATTATTTCAGTCATTTTCTGTCTAATTCTGGGATAAGTAATTGTTTGAACAAAAACTGTTGAAATTTAGATAAGTGTGAAGTTGGTGTACATTTTTGTGAGAAATTATAATGTGACAGGTATTTTTACTTTGATGTCAGTTTAAATTCATTTATTTGTTGTTAAATAAATTTATTTCATTCTTCGTTTGTGTCCCTCTCTGATCATCATCCCGAGGCAAGAGAGTTAACTGAAAGTCCAGTTTCCACCCTTGCCGAACTAGGTCGTAGCGCCACCAGTGGCTATTACTAGTTATGTCCCTCCTAAGCCTCTCCTTTGGACCAATCAGATTCCAACTCTCGTATCACTTGCGTTTGCTTCACACAAAATGGTGGCGCCCAGTCAGGACGATCTGATCGATAATCAAGATCTACATTGTGATAAAACGGGTCTTACATCGCGAAATGCATCAAATCACGTGAGCACCTTGACTAAAAACATGAAAAGATTTGGAATAATCTGTTGACAACGAGTTGGCAGTGCACTTGCTTTGCAAATACTGCAGTCGATCGAAATCTGCACGACAGTTTACGAACCGGATTTCGATTTCGGTGCGCGATTTTGATTGGACTATGCATAGACTCGTTAGTCCAGCCAAAATGTCCATAATACCAGCCTAGTTCGGCAAGGGTGGAAACTGGACTTTTAAAGTCAGTTAACTCCTTTGCCTCGGGAAGATGCTCTCTGATATATGGTAGTCCATGATGTAATGATGGATGAGTTTTTGACAAGACGAGTAGAGTCACTGTGCTTGTAGTGAGGTACATGCCTGCCACTAATATCCCTCTAATGATCAATGAAGTACATAACATCATAACAGTTTACACGGCAGTATTAACTGAACTAACCATCACCAGACAATATGACTTTAACACATAACATTCATTTGGATATAAAACAAATTTAGCTAAAATAGCCCTATGCTAATCGTTTGGCATAAAGACAACACAACTAACATTGTTTTGACAATGCGAAGCGTCACACGATACCTGGCACATTTTACCAAAGAATAATTGTCTCACGATATTTTTTTTTATTGATAAATATCCATTTTATGTAGAAATATCAGGGTGGAGTTTAATACCAAATTGTGTTCTAACTGTTGACTAACCTCTGACTCATATCGATATGGACGAATATGTGTTGGGTCATTAAGCGAAAATCCAACGTTTTCATCGATGACATTGTCAGTAATGCCATGGCGAACGCCAGTAAACACTATACAGAAACAGTGATCGTCTGCAAGTGAACTCTCCACTATGACGTCACGTCACCTGATGACAACTCTACCGATTAACTCTCGGTAGGTTCCGGAATACAAGTAGGTTTTAACGTTTGTTGTCACTAATATTGCCTTGAGAAGTTTTTCTTTCAGGATACTTGTATTAATATGCTTCATAAACGACTTAATCCCATATTTCGAGTTTACTGTAAATCTCCTTTAAACAAAAGGAAAAACATATGGTCTGTCCCTAACAAAATATAAGGACACAGATTGCCATGACGGCGGATCTGTGGTGTGTGACAGGTTTAATCTGTGCAAGGTTTCCTCAATAAAATTCGTTTTGATTAAAGACACAACGGTTTCTGTGATTCATTCGTTTATGTTGTCACAAGAATGTTACACATTATGGCTTTAACTGTGTATGAAATGCTTTGGTTACTTGTTTATTGTTTAACGCCCCACTCAGCAGCATTCCAGGTGTGTAACAACTGGCTGTAAATAATCCGAGCCTGGACCAGACAATCCTTTGATTGATATTGTGCGCAACGATACATGCCGTCAACCTTGTCACCAAGCCTGACCACCCGATCCATGTGGTCGACACTTACGACAACCTTCAGTTGTTAGGGACCTATTCTTACCCGGATTCATCACGGGGATATGGAAAGGATTCGCATTGGCTTTAAACATCAATCGGATTTGTACACCGTCCGAATAGATCACCATTATCTCATATATATGACACAGGCTGCCTTAAATACAGATGTGTGGTCAGGAGCTGTGACGTAACTGATTACGTGTCATCGAACCCCGATGGCGGGGATAGTTGCTCATGATTTTAGTCACTCTTTTGTCAAGTCAAGATTCTATTATTGTTGTAGCTTGAATATAGATGTGCCTTAAAACAACCTTCACTCACCCACTCAAGTTTACAATGATTTAGTATTATGGGATTCTATGAATTTATCACTTCTGTTTTGTTTGTCATCTCACGAAGCGTAGACAATAAAGGGGTTTTGAATTGCTAAAAGGCTTTGCTAATTGTGGAAAGCTGTTTTCAGACCACAGGGACTAACCGCCCATCCCACACTAACTGACGTACGCGAATGCGCTCTATTATTAAAACCTGTATGACAGAAAGTCCCCTAAAATACTCATGCATCCTGCATCCCTTACATGTGTCGTGCTTCCATGACAACCAAATCGCCTGGTTACCAGAATACAGACAAGTACATGAAGAAATGTTGAATCAAAAAGCAGTCAAACTGCATATGAAATACAAACAATATTCGCATCGCAACCTTAACCATCAAAGCTGTCATGAAATCCTTTTTAACAACGTTTTTAAACCAGGCAAACGGCAACACACGCTTATATCTGTTTTACGATGCATAAATCAAGGTTATCATGACAAATATTGTCCGCATTTTTGCGAAGTTGTGTCAATAGATGCCTCGAAGCATCAAATACGATCTTTCTGTCAAAACGCGCGCACTTATTGAATGCAAATATGTACATTTGTCCTATCTCCTTCAAACAGACTTTGTGAAACGGTAAATAAAAGCGACAGAAACATTTCAATAATCATTAGAAATCTCTGCTAAAATAGTAAATAGTAAAGGCACTTAGTGAAGTCGCAGGATGTCGATTGCAACATGCCGACTTTTCGGCGCACAACAGCGTCATATTTTCCACTTACAAGTTTGATGTGAAAGTAGGCATCACCATAGGCACCAACTGTGCTACCCTTCTTTCTGGTCTGTTTCTACTCGTAAGATTCCGGGGTAGAATAGGTCTTCAGCAACCCATGCTTACCGTAAAAGGTGACTATGCTTGTTGTAAAAGGCCACTAACGGGATCGGGTGGCCAGGCTCGTTGACATGGTTGATGCATGTTATCGATCCCAATTACGTGAGTCGATGCTCATGATATTAATTTCTTACTGGATTGTCTGGTCCAGACTCGATTATTTACAGACCGCCGTCATATAGCTGGAATATTGCTGAGTGCGGCGTTTAAACAACAAACCAACCAACCTGATCTGTTTCTTTATGCATATGAAACAGATTTTTCTGCACAGGTTTGCAAAGCGAAGACAAGGTATTCTCGCCAAGAAGTTTAACTTAAGCTTCAGCAATCAATCAATGATCTGATATCATTCAATAACCACCAAAAACCAATTCCCTTCCAATAACTTACCAACCTGAACTAGACATACAGGGGACCAGTGGGACTGCTTCAACTGTTTCATATTTAGATCTATGCATACAGATTCAGAATGACAAAACACTTTCCACAAAACTGAATGAGGGATGACTTCAACTTTACTTTACAACAATACTCAACTTTACCCTTTATGTCGAGCAATATCCATGCAGCTCCAACTCTTTAGGTCTACATTTCTCAACATTTGACGTATACGAGCATGCTCTTTCTACCAAGATTTCAAAAAACAGCCTTTGACACGTGTTTAGAAGGTGTTTGATCAAGATTACAACAATCAAGGCCTCAGTGAGCTTTTCAAAAAGTTTTATGGTGGCAAGAATGATGTCCGATGCAAATCCTTATTTTGACTTGTCCCATATGTTCCCGTGTTTTTCAGGTGACACTTTACTTTCCTTTGCATGTATTTCTGACCGTCGTCATCGGTGGGGCAGGATACACTTACCTTTTAACCAACACCTGGTATCATCTATATTTGATAGTGAATTCATAAACACATGTTCATGAAATAGTCTGAATCGTACAATCGACTCTGCTTTTAGCAGAGATTTCTCATGAATATGCATTGGGTTTTGTTGTTTTAATTATCATTCTGTACAGATCAAAACGAAAATGCAGCAAAGAGGTTTCGGGTGAACCTGGCACACGTCAGCCTTCCTCATTACCCAGATTGTCAGAAGGGATGTATTCCTGGCAGTAAACAGATTGGTAGATGCCAAACCTGAGGCACCGAGAACAATGGGGAGTCGGACAACTTGGTACTTAGGATGCAAG